AGGACTCTCCAGCTCTCTCCTGCCATTTCCAGCTTTGAATTAATTTTTTCCCCTGGTGCCATGCCTAAGTGGGGGGACACCTGTATAACAATCTTGGCTACAAAGTGTAATACCGTAGTAATAATAATAATAATATACATTAAAATGGTCTTGAACAAAAAAAATCTTTGCCACACCCTCAGCACCAGGATAGTCTTTTTTAAAAAAAACCAAAACAACTAAATGCGCAGTCGCAGAACAATCTGAGAACATGCTGGGAGCTTATGGCCACATGCTTAGATGCAAGGAAAACATGAGAGGTTTCTAGGGATCAAAGACTGCAGTCTTCTCTGGGATTTTGGTGCCTCCCAATTTCCCAATATATTTCTCTCAAATCAAGTTTCTATACATTATTCCACAATCCAAAACTGCCTCCCCCCGCCTGCCACACACACATAAAGTTCTACAAAGCCATACCTGCATGGAGCATGAGACTCCCAAAGCCAAACACAGCCCACCAGTCGTACAATACTGTGACCTACGGATCAGGCTATGGCAGGCTTTACAGCCAGGCCTGTACTAACATGAAGTGTGCTAGTTGTGAAATACAACATGTAATTTTAAAAAATTACAAAGATATGTGTATCCCACTTGAGGTTTGATTCATTCCAAAGCAAATGTGTTATTTTCCGTGTTCAGAATTTTGGGGGGTGGGTATCATCCAAGTGTTAGATGGTTATAATTTATTCTCTAATCTTTGTTTCAAGTGTCTGTGTTTACTGAAAGCTCCGCTGCTGATGCTTCTGAACATGCTTCCCAGTCTGTCCCAATGGTTACAACATCCACTGGTAACTTATCGACCACTTCAGAATCTGGTACAGGTGATGATGGCGATGAAGTTTTTGTAGAGGCAGAATCAGAAGGGTAAGCTCAACCAATTCAGTTAAGACGATTCTGCACGTTGCGTCTGGCTTCAATGTAATCTTATTGAAATGCCTTTCTCCGCATCAATCTGTTATCTTTTTTTAAAAAAATGCATTCAATATTTTTTGTCCTAAATGAAAACCTCTAAATTAAGTACTAGGAGGCAAGCTTTAAATCCTCACAGGTTGTTGTAAGGGTAACGGAAATCATGTAAGTAAAGCTTTTTGAACTACAGTGGAACCTTGGTTGTCGAATGTAATCCGTTCCAGAAGTCCATTTTACTTCTGAAACGTTCGAAAACCAAGGCACGGCTTCCGATTGGTGCAGGCGCCCCAGAAACAATAGCTGACAACTGCATCAGACATTTGGCTTCCAAAAAACGTTGGAAAACTGGAACACTTACTTCCGGGTTTTCGGCATTCAGGAGCCAAAATGTTAGAGTACCAAGGCATTCAAAAACCAAGGTTCCACTGTACTATATAAATGTTCAGCATTGTGACTTTGTACGATGAACTGGTATTTCTGTTCCCTCGTTTGCAATGGAAGGTTTTAACTTCACATTTGAACTGCTTTCAGGCTGCAGTCCTTAAATGGAGTTGCCAAGGCAAGAGAGATAATTGCTTCCATCTGTATTACATTACCTCATGGCGTGATTCTCAAAAATGCAGTCAAAAATGGCAGTCAAACTGGTCTTGTTTGATTTGGGTATCGTTTGGCATTAAAGATGTTAAAATGTATAGGCGGCTCAAATTGAGAAGTGCAAGAAACTATTTGGCAGCAATAGTAAGCAGTCAGAAACTTTTTAAAAAACACACACACACACCAAATATCATGTTTCTTTGGGTATTGCTAATACTTTGCAGCCGTGCACTGCTTTTTTCATCAATAATGTGTGGTCTTCAGTGCTGTTGTTGATAGATGAGCTCAATAATTTCCCTGCCAAGCTTTCAGGCACAGATGCATTAGATAGAGCTTTTCTTTGGAAGCAACAGCTCTTGCAAACGTACCGTAAATATTTTTTTGGAGTGACACCGTGCTAGGTTTTTATTGGGTGCAATTCATCTTGAACACCTTTGATATCATGAACACTAGCAAAAGAGTTGGAGGAACAAATGTAGCTGCAGAAAACCAGTAACAGAATATACCCAAGAGCAGACCTTTGAACGTTGCTGTGATTCCAACCTCACACACCTTCATTCACCCCACTGGAAAAGCTGGAATGCCACACATTTTGTAAGAACCTAGTGTGAACAAGACACAGAACTCGGCATTTGGCTATGAAAATGAAAAGCTGAGGTTACACAGGTAGCAGGAGGCTCAGTTCTTCATGCCAGGATCCTTATCAGTGAATCCCTCGTAGTGAACCTCTGTTCAAATGGTGTCCCACAAATTCTCCCTTCACATATACACCCCTGATATTTCCTAGTACATAGATACTGAATTTCTGGAGATTTTATCACTGAATCTTGGTCACCTTGTACCATTGCTAGTTAGGGAGCAGGAGGGTTTAAGCATGGTGCGCTTTCAGATTAAATAAAAGAGCTAGAAAGGGAGTTCACTTCTGTTCTTGGTCATGTCGAAACCCTTAACTGTGGAAAGAAGTTTGGAGATGGGGAACTCTGCTACACAATATTGAGATTTTAACTAGCAAATTCATTGTGTGTCTCCCATTTTCCTTTAGAATTACTTCAGAGGTTGGTCTAGAAATAGACAGCCAGCAGGAAGAAGAATCATCTCAAGCTCCTGATGAGTCAGATCTCCCATCCACAAGTCAAGATCCTCCTTCTAGTTCATCTGCAGGTAGGGCTCAGTTCCATCAAATCTCAGTGGTCTGGATCAGGGTTTTTCAAAAACTTGGGTCTCCAGCTGTTTGGGGACTACAGCTCCCATCATCCCTAGCTAGCAGGGTCAGTGGTCAGAGATAATGGAAATAGTATTCCGAAAACAGGTGGAGACTCAAGTTTGGGAAACCCTAGTCCGGATAAAGTACTGTTGACCTTTCACTGATGGAGGGCTGCCAGATTAGAATAGTTAAACCACTCAAGTTGGGTTCTTTTTTGTTTGATCTTCATATTTTCCTTGTCGCTATTTTGTCTGCATCCATGGAGGAGAAATCATGGCCTGTTCAGTATGTGGAAGGAGGACATTAATCTGATCTTTCTAAGTGATAGAAAGGAGATCCAGATAAATATTGCAGGTTAAAAGGTCTAAATATCAGTAAAGAACAGCCTAGGTCCTCAATCCTTCAAACCTTTGACCAGTAATTCTCTATCCTTCTGACCAAGCTATGTGCTTATAATTTTAAGCAACACCAGGAGTCTTTTGCTTTCTATTACTTTCAGTAAAAATCCTTAACACAGGCACCTGTGTGTGTTGTTGATTAATACTGGAGTACAGCCAAACCCCCATTTGCACCCCCACCCCTGTTACACCCCATTTTGGGGCCACTTCCAGGTTTGCAGTGATGAGCATGCGGACGTCAATTGGATGCACATAAAACGGTCGCTGCTAGCCATTAGCTAGCTAGCAGCATGTAGAAGGTTGAGAGCCAATTTTTTACTTTTTCCAGTTAGATATTTTATTTGCCCTCGCAGATTTGAAGTTTAAAACTGAAGTTAACAGCTTGCATATTGAAAATCAGCCATGATTACACTTAACTTGCATGACAAAGTCAAATTACAGCCATGGCATTTTGTCCCATACTGTTTCCTTTTCAGACACAAGCAGTAATCATCCGAAGCCTTTCCGGCGAGTTAGACTTCAGCCAACAACATTAAGAACTGGCCGTCAGTTTAACAGACAGAGGGGTAGGTTTCCTTCATCTCTTGCACAGATGTGTTAAACTCTATAGGATTGCAAATAAGTGTATGTATTGCATAGTATTGCAGCCACCAAAACATGCAAGGGGGCTTGTAGACATTGAATAATGAGGATTATTCACCCCAGAGACTTTACAATATATATATCAGCTAAGGTACTTGATTGACTTAAAAGGAAAATAGCATAATTTAAAGTTGATCTGGTGCAATGTGGCGTTCTTATAAAGCAGTGGTTCTCAAAGGGTCTGGCGATGGCAAGTATGGCAGGAAGATTCAAGGACAATCAAAGAGACATTTAAACTTTTCAGTGTAGTTTTGTATCAAAAGCATTATTATTATTTATTTGCAGAATCTGGATAGATATCTTTTCAAAATGAGAGCAAGAGCATCAAGTGATACTGAGGACGATCCTAGTTGTGTTTTCCAATGTATTGCTTATCAATTAAAAATTAGGTGTGGCAAGAGCAAATTTTTATTCTGAAAGTGTGGCCCAGAGATTCAAGTTTGAGAACCGCCGTTATAAAGGGATGCGGGTGGCAGTAGCTAGCAACAAATAAATATAAGAAACTCCTCAGTAGAACTTAGATCTCAAAAAGAAATGAGAATCTGAAATCTCATACTAGAGAAAAGAATTGAAGATCTTGTCAGAGGCAGTGTATTAATTCCAAGTAATTAATTGTTAGTATCAATCTGCCAGTCAGTCCAAAGTGAACTGTTTCCATAGCCATTAGGCAGGAGTAAATCTAGTTGTCATAACAATTTCAAGGAACTAGAAAGTATTTCCGGCACAGCCTTCTGTTTCTGAATTGGTTAAAATAGGTGTAAATACTAGATTATGTATGGAGTGCTTATTCCTTCTGGCTACAGGGATGCCATTCCGTACCCCCACATTACTCTCCCAAAAGACTTGTGGCGGGCAGGCTTCGATAGAATCCTTTAAAACTGATATTAACGTAGTTAATAGCTAATAGCAGTTAATTGAAACAAAAGTATATATTAATACTCTTCCTTTCCCTTTGCAGGTGTAACTCCTGGTGGCAGAGGAGGCCTAAACAGAAGCAATATTAATTAAAGCTCAGTAGAAATTAAAACAGTGTATACTGTCTGTCTAGTCTTGCTCTTACTTGCATTTGTGTAATGGCTGGCAAGCTTGAAGCAGGTTTTTTGTTTTCAATTTGGATCGATGTATGGATATTTCATTATGTCTTTTATTAATAAAAACTAGAGGAAATTGTCAAACGCAATGGTGTCTCTGTTTCAGCTCTTGGGGGCTCCAAATCACTCTAAAGGACACTTGTACCAGGCTCCAGACACAGTCTGCCCAGTCTGTAGTGTGACTGGTCTTGCTATTCTGCTGCCCACATCCACGCTGTAGTATTGATCTGTAGGGAGGGGAAATAAAGATAAGAGTCTCATTCAAGTCCCACAAGCAGGAAATCTTGACTTAAATGTGAATCCCTACTATCCACTGTGGGTTAAACCACAGAGCCTAGGACTTGCCGATCAGAAGGTCGGCGGTTCGAATCCCCGCGACGGGGTGAGCTCCCATTGCTCAGTCCCTGCTCCTGCCAACCTAGCAATTCGAAAGCACGTCACAGTGCAAGTAGATAAACAGGTACCACTCCGACGGGAAGGTAAACGGCATTTCCGTGCGCTGCTCTGGTTCGCCAGAAGCGACTTAGTCATGCTGGCCACATGACCCGGAAGGTGTACGCCGGCTCTCTCGGCCAATAAAACAAGATGAGCGCCGCAACCCCAGAGTCGGTCACGACTGGACCTAATGGTCAGGGGTCCCTTTACCTTTACTATCCACTGTCCTGCAGCGGAGGACAGATTCTATTGCAAATGCACATTTCCTCAGACCTGTTGGTTAGTACTGTAGCCTTAAATTATTCTTTTGAATCTGCGGGCACGTTTGGAATTTCGACTGTGCATTCTGCACCCGAGAAAAAAAAATGTGCACTCAGCCACAAGCGCCCTTCATTTTTCCAAGAGGTCTGTGTAAAACTCAGACCCAAGTCCTCTTGAATTTTCATGATTTTACACCAAATTACCAAAAAGACACAAAGTGAACCTTACGGTAGCAGGCAGCACAGTAGAAAATAACGGTTGCAGCAATTGCTAGCAACCTTAGAAACATTGGTCCAAGATGCACAAATCCTGGCTCTTTATGATTTTTAAAGAGGACAACCAAACCACAGAACGCAGAGATGACCTGTGTTTTGATGGTGCTTTTGAGGGGATCCCTTGTAAAAATTAAGAGGGAAAAAGACAAGTAGCATATGTCCGTTTCGTTATTGAACTGAACTGAGGTACAACATTAATTTGTAAAAAGCAGCCTTAGATATTTTCCCGTCTTGGTGGTGGCAGTAGTGATGTTTTAGCTTCAACATACCTTTAGAAAAAGCATAGTAATCATAACCATCTGGCTTCTGATCATTTGGAACCGATATAACAGAATTCACTTCTTTTGGGAATCCCCTCCAGTATGAGGCAACTTTGACCTCTGGCTGCAAGACTCCTGCAGAAGCAAAAGGAAACATTAGGAAAGAGAGGATATCAAATCACTGAAGTGTTTATAACCGTTGGGCATGAAACACATGAAACAAAGGCATAGCTTGCTTTTATATATATAAATATTCCAAAAAATAGCGTAAGTGGGGGAAATCCATCCTATATAGCAGGGATGTCCAACCGGTCAATCTCTAGCTGATTTCCGTCCCCGCACCCTCGTCATTTCCTTCAGTCGCACAGGATCGCTAAACCGGAAGAGAAAGTTAGCGCTGACTGGCTTTTGTTTTGGTGAGCTCCACAACTCTGACATTCCCCCCTAAAAAAAGCTCAAAGATGGGTAGATCACTGCCATATTTTTTTCCTGGGAGCATCTCGCAGTCTCTTGGGAGTTGGACGTCCTGCTATATAGCATGCATGGGCAAACTCGACCCTCCAGATGTTTTGGGACTACAATTCCCATCATCCCTGACCACTGGTCCTGCTAGCTAGGGATCATGGGAGTTGTAGGCCAAAAAACATCTGGAGGGCCGAGTTTGCCTATGCCTGCTATATAGTGTTTGAAACAGCTATACTGCAGTCATGCACACAGACCGCTTCATTTTTAATTCCACATCATTTAAACATCCTCACTGCTCGATTGTAGACGATTAACAGTACAAGACGGTGAACATACCAGTCGCCTGGTGCCTGAACTGAACAACTGGGCGATGCTGGACTCTGACGGTCCGGAGAATTTGAGCCGGTCTTACTGAACGTTCAAAGCGCCTCCGCCTTTTCCTGATCACAGCTTTTGGTTTGTAAGCCGGATAGTTCACAGTCACCACTTTCTTTTTGCTGCATTTCTTCGTTCCTCCTTGTTTGTAGGTATATTGCTGGAGGTTGCCGCCTAGATCAGATAAGATTGCATCGGTGAAGGTATTTGAAGGCACAAGGCAAGAAATGATATCCCACCACACTGTTACTTACAGGTTCAGATCCCCTGCTAGGAAGGCCTACAACTACAATTCCCAGCACCCTGGAAAGAGGTGGTGGTAAAATCTTTTCCCCAGTGGGAAAGACTCCCTCAAGGAGGCAGATTCTCCTTTATTGGAGGTTTCTAAGCAGAGGTCGGGGACGCGGGTGGCGCTGTGGGTAAAACCTCAGCGCCTAGGACTTGCCAATCGTCAAGTCGGCGGTTCGAATCCCCGCAGCGGGGTGCGCTCCCGTTGCTCGGTCCCAGCGCCTGCCAACCTAGCAGTTCGAAAGCACCTCGGGTGCAAGTAGATAAATAGGGACCGCTTACTAGCGGGAAGGTAAACGGCGTTTCCGTGTGCTGCGCTGGCTCGCCAGATGCAGCTTGTCACGCTGGCCACGTGACCCGGAAGTGTCTGCGGACAGCGCTGGCCCCCGGCCTCTTAAGCGAGATGGGCGCGCAACCCCAGAGTCGGACACGACTGGCCCGTACGGGCAGGGGTACCTTTACCTTTAAGCAGAGGTCAGATGGCCACCTGTCCGGGATATTTGAGCCGTGGTTTCTGCATTGCAGAGCTTTGGACTCTTGGGATCCCTTACAACTCTATCATTCTGATTCAGAACATTAGATCAGTCGTGATGTTAGTATATAATAATGAATAAATCGACAGTCCAATTGTACAGTCTGCAGTGACCTCACAACTGACATGTCCAAAACTAGGTACCGTATTTTTCCGTGTATAAGACTATGTTTTTTCCTTAAAAAATAATGTCAAAAATTTGGGGACGTCTTATACACAGATACATCTCTCCCCCCCCCCCCATTATCTTAAATCGGAGTCCCCCCAAATAGGGGGCAACTTATACATGGGGGCATCTTATAGATGGAAAAATATGGTATATTAATTTTTTTTAACTCCTGAACTAGGATTGCCATTTAGTTAATCAGATGTTAAGGCTTTTTTTTTTTTGTCTCCCCCCCCCCCCGCCATTCTTTTCTTTATATTTTATACATTTATGTACATTCTTTTTTAAAAAAATGATTTATTTTGACAAAAGTAATAATCATAAATAAGAATAAAAACATGCACCCCACCCCCGAGACCATTATAACTATCCAGCCTCCCAGAATTTCAACACCTTTTGTGATGGTTTGACCCCTTTCTGTTTTAACAGTACAATTCTACAAACACCTTCCATTTCTCCTCAAAATCATTGCTCCTGCATATTCCCCATCTTACCTTAATGGCACATGTTAATTTATCATTAATAGCTATATCCCATACCTCATTATACCATTCTGCCATTTTATATTCTGCTTGCCCCCTTCCACTTCCTAGCTATGATAATTCGTGCAGCTGTCAATAAATTTGTAAGTCCTTCATAGCCTGTGAACCTTCCACGCCATCGTAAATTGATAATAATGCTGCTTCTGGACTTTTGGTCAGCTTTAACCCAGTGATTTCTGTTATCTCCTTAAACACTCTTTGCCAAAAAAAGGTTTACATTTTGTTTCAGTTTTTACAGATTAGGAATGTTTAATATATAAAATCCATTGTGTTGTATCACGTTAGTCCTACACAGAGCAGATGCTTTGAAAATAAACACAATTAACTTGGGTCCATTAATTTCAATGGGTTTACTGTGTGTATAACGTTGCAGTATACCAACCAAAAGATTTTAAAGCTTTTGATCAATTAAAGTGTCCCTTATTAATTAGGCAGCAGATAGTTTTAAAGCTACCCTTTTAATACAAGTATTTACAAGTCCGGTAATAGTCTCCATCTTAGAAGACTGTCTCTACAGAATATTTCTTCCAAGGTGGCATCCTTTGTGATACGTGCATGCATAATTTTAAAAACAATATGCTTTCACCTCCCCTTTCAAAACTCTTATTTCTCTTGTAAATTTATATAGATGTAATTGAGAAAAAATGTCTTTCTTTCAGTGCCAGCTGCAATACCAGCCATCAATCCAAGACCACACAATGCACTGTACTGTATATCTGATAAACAATTTAGTTTTGTGATGAATGTTCGAAATTGGTATTATTTTAACCAAGCCTAAATATCCGAGGGATGCAGGTGGCGCTGTGGTCTAAACCACTGAGCCTAGGGCTTGCTGATCGAAAGGTTGGCGGTTCAAATCTCCGCGACGGAGTGAGCTCCCATTGCTCTTTCCCAGCTCCTGCCAACCTAGCAGTTCGAAAGCACGTGAAAGTGCAAGTAGATAAATAGGTACCACTCCGGCGGGAAGGTAAACAGCGTTTCCATGCGCTGCTCTGGTTTGCCAGAAGCGGCTTAGTCCTGCTGGCCACATGACCCGGAAAAACTGCGGACAAACGTCAGCTCCCTCGGCCAGTAAAGCGAGATGAGTGCCACAACCCCAGAGTCATCCGCGACTGGACCTAACAGTCAGGGGTCCTTTACCTTTTTTAAAAAAATATCCCAGGCTCTCATTGGCCTTGCATACTGGATTCTATCCGGTGTTTCCGATGTATCTGACAGGCACCCTAAATATAAATCTTACCTTTTTTAAAGAAATAAACCGTTTCTGGCCTGTTCTTGTGTTTAGCCACAGAGAGAGCACCTGTAATTTTTCCATTCAGTCCTCCAAATCCTTTTACAATTGCCTTGGGATAGCCAGCATCCATTTTATCATTGGTGAAGCGCCAGTACTGAGAATCCTGAGAATTAAAATGGCTGAAGTTATGTCAAACATTAAATGTAGATTTCATTGGGCTTACGTGCCTTAATTTAATTTCGTGACAGCAGTCACGAAATTAAAAGACGCCTTCTCCTTGGGAGAAAGGTGATGGCAAACCTAGACAGCATCTTAAAAAGCAGAGACATCACCTTGCCAACAAAGGTCCATATAGTTAAAGCTATGGTTTTCCAGGGAGTGATGTATGGAAATGAGAGCTGGACCATAAAGAAGGCTGATCGCCGAAGAATTAATGCTTTTGAATTATGGCACTGGAGGAGACTCTTGAGAGTCCCATGGACTGCAAGAAGATCAAACGCATCCATTCTTAAGGAAATTAGCCCTGAGTGTTCACTGGAAGGACAGGTCCTGAAGCTGAGGCTCCAATACTTTGGCCACCTCATGAGAAGAGAAGACTCCCTGGAAAAGACCCTGATGTTGGGAAAGATGGAGGGCACAAGGAGAAGGGGACGACAGAGGACGAGATGGTTGGACAGTGTTCTTGAAGCTACCAGCATGAGTTTGACTAAACTGTGGGAGGCAGTAGAAGACAGGAGTGCCTGGCGTGCTCTGGTCCATGGGGTCACGAAGAGTCGGACACGACTAAATGACTAAACAACAACAACAAATGTTGTTGCTGCTGCTGTGGTGGTGGGAGGGGGTAATTTTAGAGGTAATCCTTATTATCACCACCTTTCTTTCAATAGGAATTATTCCCAAGTTGTTTGGGGAAGGGAGAGCTTAGTACAAAGGCAGAAACATTATTATTACCATCTCATCAAAAACCCTAATTTTGATCAGCTTGTAGATGACATTCAGCCTCAAACATCACATGGGTCTGAGCAGGTATTATTTAGTGATGCGGTTCTTTTTAATGTATTTCCTGTGTATTTCCCTTATCCTATTATTTTCTATTCCACAAAGCTAGTTAAACAAAGAAAAACTAGCCAGCCAGCATTAAGTATGCATTTTTCTTTGCAACTATGCATGTGTATGGCCACTAGTTGTAGTAATTCAAAATTATTCCTGGATTGGTTTTATATTTATTTTCTCACTTTAATCTACAGCATGGGTAGGCAAACTAAGGCCCGGGGGCCGGATCTGGCCCAATCGCCTTCTAAATCCGGCCCATGGACGGTCCGGGAACCAGTGTGTTTTTACATGAGTAGAATGTGTGTTATTTAAAATGCATCTCTGGGTTATTTGTGGGGCATAGGAATTCGTTCATTCCTCCCCAAAAAATAATAGTCTGGCCCCCCACAAGGTCTGAGGGACAGTCAACCAGCCCCCTGCTGAAAAAGTTTGCTGACCCCTGATCTACAGCAACACACCAGCAATAGACATAAAGTAATAACAACGAAGACTTAATTACAGATAGGTAGCCGTGTTGGTCTGCCATAGTCAAAACAAAGAAAATTCCTTCCAGTAGCACCTTAAAGACCAACTAAGTTAGTTCTTGGTATGAGCTTTCGTGTGCATGTATCTGAAGAAGTGTGCATGCACACGAAAGCTCATACCAAGAACTAACTTAGTTGGTCTTTAAGGTGCTACTGGAAGGAATTTTCTTTGTTTTAACGAAGACTTAAGAGTGTCTGGAAAAGAAGGGACTTTTTCAAACATTTTTTCCCCTCACAACAGCAAATAAAATAGACCTTTTAGAAAATAGAATCACTGGAGGTGGCCGCCATTTTGTTTTGGGGAGGACTGTGTGTCTATTGGGGACGGGTCCTCCTCATCTATGGGTGTTTTTTGTGTTGTTGTTTATTGCAGCATCCACATATTGGCATCAAAATACCAGTTAGTATTTCCCCATCTCCCATTTAATCCAAATTTATCGTCTTTGGGGGAAATTCAGTAAATAAAATGTAGCCTCTTGCCAATTACCCATTTGCAAATTAAGCCCACATCTGTCTAATGCTAGGGCAGGGCCTATTTGCAGTCATGTTGATTTTCCTGAGATTTAGCCAAAAAAATAATAATAGTGAAAACCTGTGCCAACATTTTACTTCAAAATGAACAAATGTATCTTTAGATAGACCGTGCCAATGGTCACTGGCATATATGGGGTTAGATGGAAGGAATTAGCTTAACTTTTTTTAAAAAACAACAACCAAAAAACTGGTCATTTTCAATAAAACAGGCAAGATTTGGCCGTCAGAATCTGACCTACTGAAGTTACTGCCAGGCTTGGCTTATTTGCAAGACTTCAATTTTAGGTGTGTCCTTTTTAAAAGCAAAAAACCCGCTGGCAACATATATTGAGAACATAAGAAAGAAGCAGAAGACAGTGTGGGAAAATATGATCTGGAACACAGTTAATTGTTTAGACGTAAGTGAGCATACCTCATAGAATATAAAAATATGATTCATTTGTTCTTAAATTTATACCCAACATTTCCTTGCAAGTTGATCCAAGCACTATCCATTGTTCCTCCTGTCCACCTTTTATCTTCATAGCCGCCCTGCCTGGTAGGTTGGGCTGAGTGGGATTTTGAAGCTGGGTCCAAAACTAAATACGACAGCAAACTGGCTCTCACATTTGGCTTAAACAACAGCAGCAAAACCCTCTTTCTTAAGCTACACAAATAAAGGTTAGATATGCAATGCTCTTAAAAGCAACCCAGTGCCACTTCCATACCCTCTAACATTTCTCCGATAAAAATAGGGGCACCCCATTCCATCATGATAACTTTACTATTTTATACCCCACACATCCTACTGGGTTGCCCCAGCCCACTCTGGGCATCTTCCAACATATATAAAAAACATAATAAAGCATTAAACATTAAAAAATAAATCTTCCCTATATAGGGTTGCCTTCCAACGGCTTGGGGGGGGCTTGGATAACTCCGTACCCTCCAACATTTCTCCAATGAAAATGGGGACATCCTAAGGAAAAATGGGACATTCCAGGATCAAATCAGAAACCAGGACGGCGTCTCTAAATCTGGGACGTCCCTGGAAAATAGGGTCTTCACCTCACAAAACAGAACCAGCCCACCCACCGAAACAGTTGCAAAATTTTGAGGGGTCACCAAGAATAGCGAATGCAGCCAGATTTTGTGCCCCACTTCCTTTCAGCTTCCTGGAAGGTTATTCCTTGGATTCCTTCAGCAGAATGTCCTGTCCTTCCCACAAACTTCCTTATTATATTGTGGTATAATGAACACAGATTGCTGGCATTTCAGGGGTCACTTTCTGCTTCAAACGCTATTTAAAATTCCAGCTGAGGAATAGGAAATATTTAATATGAGGTGTGGCGCAGCGTTTTAGTGTTTCTTGGAAACTACTCCCGTCCTTCAAGCTGTTTCCATATTAATTTTTAAGATGTTTTTACCAGGTGCCGAACTCTGCGGTGGTTTCTCCCTCTTCTTCAGAGACATTAATGGTGCGCACAAAAACCGATCTGTCATTTTGGCTGAAATGCTGTTACGTTTATAAATGAAGCTTGCTTAAGGCTGCAATGCTTAATAGATCAGCCAGTTCAAAAAACCTGGACAGGTGACTGACTAGAATAGTGTTGCCAATTAGTCAGGCATCACTTTAAAAATGTCAGGTGTGTTAATACACATATTCATTAAAAAACTGCATGGCTTAGGCACCATTTTATAAGAGATGTGAAAGTAAGGGGAGGATGCCATTTCTAAGCTGACTCCCTGTGTGACACATATCGGCACCAAATGAAAACAAGAGAAAAATATCTTATTCTTCAAAACTGACATGTGTGGGGGAAAATCTTAAAACACATTGCAGAGTTTTCAAAAAATAGACCAGAGGCCATATTCCATCCAGCAGAGCTTTTACTTGTGCTGAAGGCAAATGAGCATCATGGTCACAAATCTAAATATACTCAGGATTGGCACAGTCCATAAAAAATAAAAATGGAAGGAGGTAAGAGAACCAGTTCAAATCAAATGTACAGTGGTACCTCAGTTTAAGAGCAGCCTAGTTTAAGAACAATTTGGTTTACAAACTCGGCAAAACTGGAAATAGTGTCTTGGTTTGAGAACTTTACCTCAGTCTAAGAACAGAATCTGAACGGTGGAAGGGCACCGGCGGCAGGAGGCCCATTATGGAAAGCACGCCTTGGTTTAAGAATGGTTTTGGTTTAAGAACGGACTTCCAGAACAGATTAAGTTCGTAAAATGAGGTACCACTGTACTCAAAAATAACCCAAACCATCATGACCCTTCTGCCTGCCTCTCTCACACAGAGAAGCTTCCAGAAGCTTGTAGAATCCTCTTAATCAGAATAGGGAAAATCTCTATACATCAGATCAATACTTTCTGCAATAAGAAATGCAACTGACACTCCCTCCATTTGTTAGTTGCAGGAAGTATTGATCTGCAAAACACTTATAGGATAAAAAACATTGCATGTACACCTTCCTTCTACAAGAATAAAACCTAGCCTTTTGTTGCTAAACCTACAATTTATCAGCAGAAAAACAGTATTCCCATATGCTTCTGTGACTAGCAGAAAGACACCCTGACTCCCAGAAAAAACAACTGAACCTTCTTAAGCATGACCTTAATTGGAAGGAGATAAGAGAACCAATTGAAACCACCTGGACCCTTCTGGAAGCTTCTCTGTGTGAGAGAAGCAGGCAGAAGGGTTATGATGGTTTGGATTATTTCTGAGTACAGGTGGTTTGAACTGGCTCTTTCAGAGAACCCTAGTGTTGAACGACACAAAGTGAGCTACCTAAAGGTTTTGCTTAGTAAGAACAGAGGTCCTACTCCCACTTTTTGGGAAGTGTTCCTTTAAAGATGGAAGCTGGATCAGCTGGTGGTAACTGACACTCGTTATTTAATGCAATGCCTGTGCCAGGTGTTCCTGGGGAGTAAGCAGCTTGGGTAAGCTGGTCAGAAGCTGTCTTTATGGGACTTGAGCTGAATGTTTGGTGGTGTTTCCCATTTCCTGAGGTAAATTTCAGGAGGAGCTGACTCGTGTTTTGCAGAACTAGATGTAGAAGGAAGGTGTACATGAAATCCCCCTCCATAAGTGTTTTGCAGATCAATATTTCCTGCAACTAACAAATGGGGGGAGTGTCAGCTTGCATTTCTTAGTGCATAAAGTCTTGAGCTGATGTATAGAGATTATTCCTATTCCTATGAATTCAAGAGGATTCTAGAAGCTTCTCTGTGTGAGAGAGGCAGACAGAAGGGCCATGATTGTTTGGGTTATTTCTGAGTACATTTGATTTGAACTGGTTCTCTTACCTCCTTCCAATTAAGGTCATGCTCACTATAAATATAGGCCAAAAGGAGCCTGGGTTTCCCTTTCTCTTTCTATCTATGTTCTGTAAATAGGTATGCTTAGCGTTAAGGTCTTAGTCTCATAAGATAAGTTTGTAAGTTTCTGTAAGTGCTGCAACTGGATTTTTTATGGGCTGTGCCAATCCTGAAGGTATTTGGATTTGTGACTGTGATGCCCATTTTCCTTCAGCACAAGTAAAAGCTTCACTGGGTGGAATATAATTGCCTCTGGTCTATATTTTGTGAACTCTGCAACATGTTTTAAGGTTTTCCCTCCACATGTTTGACAAAAACCTCTTCCAAATTTGTGCCAATGTAATTGATTAAAAATCAGATATTGAGATTTATTTAGCTGACTGACAGCTTTGCTTGTGCTCATTAACTTTCCCACTCCTTATTGTGCTTAAAGGTGAATGCAGGTTAGGCTTCCCATCTTTGCTGCTGCCTAAAGTCCTTCCGGACATTCTCTGTTTCATGGGTGGGATTCAACTGCATACCAACAAATTCGGTCTGTACAATTAAAGTGAATTCGCCATTCTTGCACAACAAAGCCGTTTCCCAAAATATATACAGTGGTACCTTGGTTTGCATACGTCTTGGTTTGCATATGTTTTGGATTACAAACACGTCAAACCCGGAAGTGCATGTCCCAGTTTGCAACCTTTTTTTGGATTACGACCACCTTCTTTTTTTTCTTTTTTTGAGGCCCCATTGGCGAAAGCGCACCTTGGGTTACAACCTGTTTTGGTTTACAAACAGACCTCTGGAACGGATTATGGTTGTGAGCCAAGGTACCACTGTATACAGTATTTTAAAAACTGGGCAGTGTACAAGAAGGAAAGTTTGAGAGAGCTATTGCTTGATACAATGTCATATCACCTCCCCGCAAACAAGTGAGAATGAAGATTTAATGAACAACAGACTTGCATAGGCACCCTGCAAACTTTGTGCAAACCAGTCAGGATAAATTATCAATAAAAAGGTCACTTGGAAAAACTTCTGTACCAGTGGCCTCAATCTAACACAGTGGTAACATAACTCTGAGCCTATTTCCCCAGAAAGAAGTCTCATTATGTTTAGTTGGGCTTACTCCTAGGTAACAGTGTGTTGAATTACAGCCTTAGGCATGCTTAACTCCATTAAGATTGTTGGATTGTATCCTAGCTCAACTCTAGAAATGGCCATGAAAGTATTTCAAGCCAGAAAATGACAGCTGTTACGTGGTGCTCAAATAATGGTGGTCAGGAGAGGACGAACCCTGATATGGTAGTGCTAATTTTCTATGAGGGTGGAATTAATCATTTTGTTTTATTTTTGTTTAGGGAAACATTTGATCATGTGAGTCCTGCCTACAGTCTGAAGTTGTACAGCCCAGACACAAGTTAAGCGCCTCAGAGAAAAGCACAACTCCTTTCTTGCATCTGACCGAATCCGCCACAGAAATAAAACTTCACAGATTCTACAAAACGCATCCATCTGTACAAAGAATAGTTTGGACAACCAACAATCAACATTGAATTAACCGGTGCATGGTAAGTAAGGATATAAGCAACGCAGAGTGTGACATTTTATGGTTGCAAAATTCAGGTTATGTTTGTTCATTTGTTTAGTTTTCGTGCAACGTTGATGATCCTCCAGGTTATAATCGCCACCTACAAATGTCAAAATGCACATTGAGGAATTCATGTGACCCACCTTAAAAAAGAAGGTTTTGCCATCACAGTTACATCTAGAGAAGACTGTGTCGATGGGAGAGGGGATACCCCACACCTCTGTGATTTTACGGGGGCAAGGTGATGGTGGACTCGTTCCATTCAGCAACCAGTAGTAATGGCCTGCAAAATAAAGCAGAGGTTGAAGGGGTGGAGAAAGGGGAATGGATTAATCCTCAGGAATCAGTCTCTCTGTAGTACTCAACCTTCTCAATACAGGGGTACTTGCTAGAAGGGGCAAGAGTGGTGCCCTGGTGCATCAATTTGTGGAATCCTGTACATGTTGTTTTTGGTGGTTTGAAGACGGTGGTAGCTATTTTCTGCAAAAGGCAAGTGTTATTTGGCCATTGAAACATAATTGTCCCAGTCCAGTGAGAGAGACGACTCTATGGAAGTAGGCTTATTAGATGTACATCTCCCTTGGCAGTTCCTTGCTTTTTAAAGTACCATTGTACTGGCTGTGTCTTTTGGGGGGGGGGCAGGCTGTGTATTTTTGACGTGGGTGAGGTTGGGGACACTTGTCCACCAGCAACCATCAGTCATTTGTGTGTATGTGTTTAGCTGAAAGCACATTCATCTGAACTGGGACTGATATGTACATAACAATATGTTCTGCATTTTTGTCGTGTTTTTTTAAAAAATCCCCAAAACCATTAAGCTCACCAGTCTGCTTACTCACCTCTGAATACAGCCAGTGATCCATTTTGCAAAGGGACTATCCCATCTGCCGGCTTCCGGTTGCATAAGTTCATCTCTTGAGGTACATCTGGTACAAAATAAGTCATTTTAATTTTACAATTCCAAGTTTTATATTGTGAAGGATCCTCTACTAAAAAAGGTTAATCCTAAATGCTTTAGTTTATGATAACAATATTCACTGGGCATTAACCCTAAGACTTGTTCCAAGGACACAATTCTCACAAAGATAAATGCCAGATTTAAGGTACTCCTTGCTAATCGACTTTGAGCGCTCCACTCCAAAATATTTGCACTGACCGGTTCTAGAAGGTTCTCAAGAATCCAGTGATTTGCTCTCCAATCAGACCATACGCAATTGTGGAAAACAAGCTGTTATGAGGAAAAGGTTGGAGCAACTGGGCATTTTTATCCTGGAGGAGAGGAGCAAGGAACAAAAGGCAGGGCTGGGTCTAAGAGGCTAAAGTTTACAGGAAGGTAGATTTCAGTTGCCATGAGGAGAAACTACATGCCAGTAAGAACAGTTTGACAGTCAAACACCTTACTTATCAGGGTGATAAGTCTAGAGGTCTTAAAGCAAAGACTAATCAGAGAATCTGTTGGAGATGCTCTGGCCCTAAATTTCCCGCACTGAGCAAGGTTGGACAAGGTTCAGTGTTTCCAAACTTGGCCCTCCACCTGTTTTTTTGGACTACAACTCCCATCATCCCTAGCTAGCATGACCAGTGGTCAGGGATGGTGGGAACTGTAGTCCAAAAACAGCTGGAGACCCAAGTTTGGGAAACATTGATCTAGATCAGCGGTTCTCAACCTATGGGTCCCCAGATGTTGTTGGACTACAGCTCCCATCATCCCTGAGCTCTGGCCTTGCTAGCTAGGGATGATGGGAGTTGTAGTCAAACAACATCTGGGGGCCCACAGGTTGAGAACCACTGATCTAGATGGTCAAAAAGATTCCTTCCAGCTCTGTACTTCTCTGACACCATGCATTTAGAGCACTTTAACAGCCATGTCTTCCCCCAAAGAATCTTGGAAACTTTATTTGACCCTTCACATAGCACGGTTACCAGCACCCTTAATAAACTACAACTCCCAGGATTCATTGGGGAAGCCATGGTGTAGATGCAACCATACATGGTCTTCAAAAGCTTTGATCTTAACATTCGTATCAACCCAAAGGGCACCATTTGATACACTATATTGAATAAAATAAAAACTTTTTTTTTTAAAAAAAAAATACAGCTTAGTCTTCTGATATGTCTACTGGAAGGTGGTGGTAATATTCTATACCACTCATATGCATGAGATTGATCATTATTGTATTGCAGATGAGCAACTGGGTGCATGGGCTCATTTGGCAACGCTCAAATTCATTAGTCTTGTTCCACCCTTTCGTAAAGAAGCTGTTAGGTGGTACAGTCCCACTCATTTTTATCCTCACAACAATCCTCTGGGGCAGGTTTTGGCAAAGACAGAATGGCTTGAAGATGGATCCCTCCTGTCACATGCATCGTTTGCTTTCTAGTGTTAATGTATTGCTAAATGTACCGTATTTTTCACTCCATAAGACGCACTTTCCCCCTCCTAAAAAGTAAGGGGAAATGTGTGTGCGTCTTATGGAGCGAATGCAGGGGGGAGGCAGGCAGGAAAAGCCCCCCAAGCTCCGTGTGGCTCTTGCGGGCTTTTCCCCAGGAGGGAGAAGGGACTGACGCAGCCAGTCAGTCCCTTCTCCCTCCTTGTAGAAAAGCCCACAGGAGCCGTGCATTCCTTAAAGGGTGTGCGGCTCCTGTGGGCTTTTGCGGGAGGTGGGGGAATTGCCATAGCCACGCGCAGCCTCTCCTGGCCGGAGAGGCTGCGTGCGGCTAAAGAAGCCAAGGCAGCGAGCGCGATCCATCCCACTCACTGTCTTGGCTTCTGCCATAGACAGCTAAAGAGGAAGCCAAGACAGGGAGCGGGATAGATAGCGCTCGCTGTCTTAGCTTCTTTAGCCGCGCGCAGCCTCTCCCAGCTGGAGAGGTTGTGCGTGGCTAAAGAGGAAGCCAAGTCAGCCTGTAAAAACTAGGTGCGTCTAGGTGTTTCCTAGACCTGCCAAGCAGGTGTTTCCTGCTTGGCAGGGGGTTGGACTCGATGGCCCTTGTGGTTTCTTCCAACTCTATGATTCTATGATTCTAGGTGCGTCTAGGTGCGTCCCCCTCTAAAAACTAGGTGCGTCTTGTGGTCCGGTGCGTCCTATAGGGCAAAAAATGCAGTACTCATAGAAATACCCACATATTGAAAAGAACCCGTTGTTGTTGAGAATATGGTCATATTTGGATCCATAAGATTTATGTTCAAATCCCTGTTTGTCCATAAATTTTGCTGGGTGAGTGTGAGCCAGTCACTCTCTGTCAACTTAACTTTATCCACCCCTCCCAACATACTGTAAAAATATCATGGGTGTAGGTAGACCATGCCTGAGCTCCTTGGAGAAAATAAAGTAAAATACAACACAGGTGAGCATGTAACTCCAGTCTAGGATTTGAAATCTATGCTTGCGACTGTTGCTCTTCTACAAGGCTTCTTCACCTTTCTCTGCTCTTCTAACATGGCAATGGATTGGGGGAAAGTGGGAAATGTTAAGGAAACACATCATTCTTGCAAAGTATTTCTGAATTGTACACATACGACCTGAGTGTATTTTTGTCAGGGTTCTTTCACACCAACTGGCTGAAGGCTAGAGAATGGATACACCCTCTGGTGGAGCTGAATCAACATAAAGGCACTGATTATATCAAGCTTTGCCACCGCCATCACAACAGCATGTTGGTACCAATGGTTATTCCAAGTCCTTTTTTAGTACTGTTAAGAGTGCAGTGTATTCATGCAGATGGGATTAGTTGAGGGTTGGACACTTAGGTTTGTAATAGATAGAAGCTGGGCGCGTTGCACACTGCATGAGCCTTATCTGCTCACCCTTTCAGTGACACAGTGTTTGCAGTCCGCCACCACCTCTGACCCCGTCACCCTTCCTGCAACACACCCCTGGTCTCTTCCACCTGATTGGAAGACGTTCCAACCTCTCCTGGCTGACACAGGATTCAAATTTGCCCACCCATGTTTGTGGCCACCCACAGGTGTGGCTGTGGGTATGGTTGGCTCAACTCCTCAGGAGTCCTCACCTGGGTCCACTCTAAGGAAATAAATGCCAATGTGTCCCTCCCTCAGGAACACAGTTGGCTTCGGTTTTCCCTCCCTCCTACCGTCCCTCAGTCATGGTCTTACTGTTTTTGGCAATTGAATGTATTTGCTTGACCTTGCTATGGTTTTTATGGTTGCTGTATTTGGGGCAGGCAGGGATTTGTCCTATCAGACTAATTGGGCCTGTCTGAGGGTTTTGCCTTCCTCATAGCAATGGCCATAACTTTGATGGATATGGCATTGGGTATATTCCTAGTCAGTGGTAGAGAGGGCATTGTGTGTCTAGGTTTCCCCCTCCATGGTGGTGGGGTATCCCATTAAAGGGATCCATAGATCACTGGGTTAAAGCTGGCCAAAAGTCCAGAGGTAGCATTATTATCAATTTATGATGGGGTGGAAGGTTCACAGGCTACGAAGGACTTGCTCACAAATTTATTGACAGCTGCACGAATTATGATAGCTAGGAAGAATATAAAATGGAAGAATGGTATAAAGAGGTGTGGGATATAGCTATTGATGATAAATTAACATGTGCCATTAAGGTAAGATGGGGAATACGCAGGAAAAATGATTTTGAGGAGAAATGGAAGGTGTTTGTAGAATTTGTACTGTTAAAACTGAAAGGGGTCACCCCATCGCAAGAGGTGTTGAAATTTTGGGAGGTTGGATAGTTACAATGGAATGGTCTTGGTGGTGGGGTGCACATTTTTAATCTTATTTATTTATGATGATTACTTTGTCAAAATAAAATTTAAAAAGGGATCCATAGGGGAGATGCTACTATCCAAACATCCAGGGAGGGGCCAAGGGCCATAGCACTCCCCAGCATAGCAAGCCTGTGGGGTGGTACAGTCATACCTCATGTTACGTTTGCTTCATGTTACATTCTTTCAGGTTACGTCCCGCGGCGACCCGCAAGTACCAGAAAGGGTTACTTCCAGGTTTCGCCACTCACGCATGCGTAGAAGCGCTAAATTGCACTTCGCACATGCGCACAAACACCAAATCGTGCCGCACACCTGTGCAGATACGGCGCTTCAGGTTGCGCTCTTTTCAGGTTGCGAACGGGCCTCCGGAACGGATCCCGTTCACAACCAGAGGTACCACTGTACCTATTTGAAGTATATCATAGGTCTAACCCACACCAAGCTTGACCCTCCGCTATCCTCCAGCAGGTGAGCTGGAGGTCTTGGTGGGCTACCCAATGCTAAGCCAGAACTCATTTTGTATCTGTAATCCATAGAGTTGTGGCCTGATTTAAACTCCAATGAATAGTGTCTGCAGTTCTTGCTGCATCCAAATGGCCGGATGGGGACAGATTCACAGCACCTTGGCAACACAAACGCATGCATGCCTTGGCCACTTCTGTTCTTGAAGGTTTTGTGAGTCCATACCCATTCCACTGGACCTGTATTGCAGTTTCCTATCCATGTGGGGCAAATAGTGCCTTATTGTTTTGGTGCTGGGGCTCATCACCTCATCAGACTGTGGAACTTCGGTGCAGACAATGTAAAACTAACTTATCGCGGAGACTATGTTAGCAACGAGAATGAGCAAACATGGCATTATTAACACCTGTTGATTTTTACAAGACGTTCTCCACAATGTAAAGTGTGAATCTGTAAAACTCTTGACTTCAGCTTTAAGCAAAACACAAAGAAAACGATTAAAGAATGGTCAAAAGCAAGTATAAGGATCCTCCTGCTACATATTGCCAGGGGAAGGGTTATTATACGCAGGGCATTCTAAAGAGTTGCCCTTCCTTCCCGTACATTACAGTTGCACAGAGCATAACCAGTGCATCTCACTCCACAATCCTGCTTGCCACCTGGAAATCTAAAAATACTAAACAGTTACCTCGTGCATTATTTTGGAGTTCTCTTTCTAACCCAGGGGTCGGCAAGGTTTTACCGGCCATGGGCCGGATCACTCCCACAGAGATCTTCCGTGGGCCGGACTGGCGCAGCGTGATGCTGGAAACCACGTCTGTGCATGTCCGCAGAGCTGGAAATCGCTTCTGCGCATGCCCAGACGCCGAAATTGCACCTGCGCAGACACAATTTCCGGCACCGCTCGGCAAGTCCCCGCGCTCTGCACTAAACCAGCACGGCACAGTGCAGGGACTTGCCGAGCAGGCGGTGCAGCTCGGCGGCTCAGGGGGCGGGTAAAACGGTCTTTGTGGGCCGCATCTGGCCCACAGGCCGCGCATTGCAGACCCCTGTTCTAACCAAAAGGTTGCCATTTCTCTCCGAGGACATGAAGACAGCCAAACATTTTCATATTTTTACGCCCAGTAGATGCATGCAGATATGTTGTGGCCCGTATGTCGGGGGGGGGGGGATCAATTCTAGCCAGCCTCTCACACTAAATATTGCAAATGTTAATGATAAAACTTTGTGTAATGAATTGGGACCACACTGTATTTGAAAAATACCTTCATAAATATGCCTGTCATTTTACCATCGCTTATGTGTTGTCAACCTGGTGCCCTCCAGGTATTTCAGACTACATGTCAGCAGGGGCCGATAGGAGTTATATTACAGAACATAAGGAGGGCACCAGATTGGTGAAGACTGTGTATGTTCAGACTCGAGGGGAAACATAGGAGGCATCTCTCCTTTGACTTTTTCTAGAATCCCATGTAGCTCTTCAAAACTTCACTCCAGAGAGAGTTATTGTGATGGCCTGGGATTCGGACTCGGAGGCTGAACCTGAGGAATCCCAGCCTGCACAGAATTCCCCGCCTCCAGAACCAGCTGAGCCGGGGCTGGGGCATGAGCCTGAAGGGTCCTCACCTGTGCTGGATCCTCAGGTGCAGGCACCAGCTGAGTCTGCTCTGGCTCCTGAGGTGATGGAGGACCCATTGCCTGCAGGTGCTCCACTCTCAGCCCCGTCAGGGGAAGCTGAGGTTGCCTCTGGGTCCAGTAACCCTCTAGCCTCTCCTGAGCTGCAGAGGCTCAGAGCAGAGAGGCGGAGGGAACTAAGTTTCCGCAGGAGGAGTGCTCGCCTCCAGGCCAGGAGAGGCGAGTCACCTGTGGACCGGGGCCGCCCTATGCCTTGGGGCAGATAAAAACCAGTCAGCCCCAGTCCTAGGTTGCAGGAGCAACGTTGTTGCTAACCCGTTCCTGCCGGCACCCTGTCCTGCTCTTCCGCCAGTGTTCCTGACCTCACCCAACTCCCTGCCTTGGACCCTGCTTCAGCTTTGACAGACAGCCTCCATACCGCACCCTCGACCTCAGACTGGACTCGGACCTCGCCGCACGGTTAACCCTCGCGACCAGCACAGTTATTGATACACAGTTCTTTTTTTAACATAAAGGTAAAAGGTGAAGGTACCCCTGCCCGTACGGGCCAGTCTTGACAGACTGTAGGGTTGTGCGCTCATCTCACTTAAGAGGCCAGGAGCCAGCGCTGTCCGCAGACACTTCCGGGTCACGTGGCCAGCGTGACAAAGCTGCATCTGGCGAGCCAGCGCAGCACACGGAAACACCATTTACCTTCCCGCTAGTAAGCGGTCCCTATTTATCTACTTGCACTTAGGGGTGCTTTCGAACTGCTAGGTTGGCAGGCGCTGGGACTGAGCAACGGGAGCGCACCCTGCCACGGGGATTCGAACCGCCGACCTTTCGATCGGCAAGTCCTAGGCGCTGAGGTTTTACCCACAGCGCCACCCGCGTCCCTTTTTTTTTAACACCCTAAAATTCAATTATCTATCGTCTATTTATTTATTTATTTATCTATCTATCTCAATTGCATTAAAAGAAATTTTAAAATTTAAAAAGTGTAAAAATAAAATAAAAGAAGTAGTAGTAATCATACCTTTGTACAACAGAGGTGTGACAAACTTTTCTGGCCGAACATACTCTGCAGTTAGGTTGGTAATCCACTCGGGAAGCCTTACACTAGAGATTGTGGAGTATGTCGTAGTTTTTCTTTTTGTAGGTATAAGTATGGTGGGCAAAGTGGAGGTGTATGTTGTAGTCTTGTCCACAGTCGAGGACGGGGTGTCAGGGGTTTTTGATGTTTTCAAGGAAGTTGTAGTCACCTGTGTTACTGTAGTGTTTGTATTCTTGTTAGTTGGCGTTTCCTTGGTGGGTTCGCTATCTGAAACAAGATCAATTTTTGTATTAGTTGTAACATCACGGGTGGTTGTTTCTGGATGGTCAGTTGTATTTGATTGGGTGGTGGTTGTAGTTGTAGTAGTTGTTACTATCCGTGTAATTTTAGTGATAACTTCTGACTTGCCATTTTTAGGATTGTCATCGGGGTTAGGTGAACTGGGATTTGATTCTGTTGTGGTAGTTGTAGTTGTTTTTGTAACTGTAGTGATGCTATCTGGCTTGTCACTTTCCTCAGGGTTAGGGGAATCACTCAGTGGTTTGGATTCTGTTTTGATGGTAGTAGTTGTCTGTGTGACTTGAGTTGGCTTGTCTGGCTTGTCACTTTGATTGGGACTTGGTGTTTCACTGGGTGACTTGGGCTGTGTAATTATCGTTGTTGTCTCTGTTACTTTTGTAGTATCATCTGGTTTGTCACCGTTCTCATCGCCTTTGGGATTCGGCTGATCATTTGGCGGCTTGGGGTTTGGTGTTGTTTTTTCTGGGGTCTCTGGATTCCTAGTTGAAGGAATGTTTTCATTAGCATTGCTAGGGCTGATTGGATTAATCTCTGTTATTATAGTCTCTGTTACTGTAGTTACTTCAGGCCTGTCATTCTGACCATCAGGGCTGGGTGTGCCACTTTGAGGGGTAGTCACGGTAACTATTGTCTCTTTGACTGTAGTTATAATTTCTGGTCTGTCTTTTTTATCATCAACTGGGCTCGGTGTTCCACTGGATGGATCAGTCTGTATTGTTGTTGTCTCTGTGACTGTAGTAGTTCCTTCTGGTTTATCACTTTTATCAACACCGTCAGGCTTGGTTGTGTCACCTGGATCAGTCTGTATTATTGTTGTCTCTGTGACTGTAGTAGTCTCTTTTGGTTTGTCACTTTTATCAACACCGTCAGGCTTGGTTGTGTCACCTGTATCCGTCTGTATTATTGTTGTCTCTGTGACTGTAGTAGTTCCTTCTGGTTTGTCAATTTTATCAACGCCGTCAGGCTTGGTTGTGTCACCTGGATCGGTCTGTATTATTGTTGTCTCTGTGACTGTAGTAGTCCCTTCTGGCCTATCATCTTTATCATCACCAACAGGGCTAGGGGTTCCACTAACTGGATCTGTCTGTGCTATTATTGTCTCTGTAACTGTAGTAGTCCCTTCTGGTTTGTCAGTTTTATCTACACTGTCAGGCTTGGTTGTGTCACCTGGGTTAGTCTGTGTTGTTGTCACAGTGACTGGAGTAGTTCCTTCTGGTTTGTCAGGATTAGTTCCATCACCTGGAGTAGTCTGTGTTATTGATGTCCCTGGGACCCCAGGAACACCATCGGGATTGGTTGTGTCACCTGGACCAGTCTGTATTATTGTTGTTTCAGTGACTGTAGTGGTCCCTTCTGGTTTGTCACTTTTATCAACCTCATCAGGATTAGTTCCATCACCTGGAGTAGTCTGTGTTATTGATGTCCCTGGGACTCCAGGAACACCATCGGGATTGGTTGTGTCACCTGGATCAGTCTGTATTATTGTTGTCTCAGTGACTGTAGTGGTCCCTTCTGGTTTGTCACTTTTATCAACCTCATCAGGATTAGTTCCATCACCTGGAGTAGTCTGTGTTATTGATGTCCCTGGGACCCCAGGAACACCATCGGGATTGGTTGTGTCCCCTGGATCAGTCTGTATTATTGTTCTCTCAGTGACTGTAGTGGTCCCTTCTGGTTTGTCACTTTTATCAACCTCATCAGGATTAGTTCCATCACCTGGTGTAGTCTGTGTTATTGATGTCCCTGGGACTCCAGGCGTACCATCAGGATTGGTTGTATCACCTGGATCAGTCTGTATTATTGTTGTTTCAGTGACTGTAGTGGTCCCTTCTGGTTTATCACTTTTATCAACCTCATCAGGATTAGTTCCATCACCTGGAGTAGTCTGGGTTATTGATGTCCCTGGGACTCCAGGCGTACCATCGGGATTGGTTGTGTCACCTGGATCAGTCTGTATTATTGTTGTTTCAGTGACTGTAGTGGTCCCTTCTGGTTTGTCACTTTTATCAACCTCATCAGGATTAGTTCCATCACCTGGAGTAGTCTGTGTTATTGATGTCCCTGGGACTCCAGGCGTACCATCGGGATTGGTTGTGTCACCTGGAACAGTCTGTGTTGTTGTTGTCTCACTGACTATAGAAGTCCCTTCTGGTTTGTCACCTTTATTAACACCATCAGGACTGGTTGTATCCCCTAGATCAGTCTGTGTAGTAGTAGTAGTAATGCTGGTGCCAGTTTCTACTTTGTCAGTCTTATCATTAGAACTTGCTGTGTCACTTGTTATCGATGTATCTGCAACTGCAGTGGTCTCTTCTGGTTTGTCACCCTGAACATTACTATCAGGAGTAGGTGTGCCACTTGTTGGATCTCCCTGAATTGCTGTTTCTGAATTGATAGTTGTTCCTTCTGGACTCTCAATTTCTGGTCTGCCATTTTTATCATCAAGATTGCCTAAGTCACTTGGTGGCTCAGTCTGTGTTGTTATTGTCTCTGTGACTGTAGTACTCCTTTCTGTCCTGGCACTTCTAAAATTTCCCTCAGACTGAGGTGTATCTGTGAATAGAGTAGCAGGAGTTGTTGAGAATAAGTTTGTTTGTTGGTCTTGTGGACTCACCGAGTTAACTGGCTCATTCGTTGATTTCTCAGTTGGCTTAGGTTCCCCGACAGTCTGAGATGTAACCCCTATTTCTTTTGTGTCTGTGCCTTTTGTACCCGATGGTGAAACAGAGCCATCATCTAAGGTTGCCAACTCTGTAGTTGACATCCTCTCAGTAAAAGCAGTTGTGCTTGAATCCTTGGGGTTTTCTGAAGCCGTCATTTCAGCAGATGTACTTATTTCTTCAATAATAGTAGAACTCTTTTTTTTGGTAACAGATTTCTCTTTAGAGTTTGTTGCTGTTTCCTTATTCTCTGTAGTTGTCTTTTTCACAAGTGTAGTTGTCTCTTTATCACCTACATCCGTCTCTTTTGAATCGGCTGTAGTTGAATCTGTGAGACGGGTGGTTATCTTTTTTCTATCAGAAGACCTACTGTTTTTGGTTTCAACTGTACTATCTTCCTTATCTTCTGTAGTTAGCTCCTGACTAGAAGCTTTGGCTTCTGTTTTTTCTACAGGTGTTGTTTTCTTATCTGCAGCAGTGGTCTCTTCACCGGTCAGGGCATTCATTGTTGTAGTGGTCTCACTGCCTGCAAACTTTCCCTCACTTTCTCCTGTTGTTACAGTCTCTCCAACTACAGTAGCAGTGTCTTCCCTGACTTGTGTTGTTGCATCCTTATTACCTGTGGCTGTTTCAGTTACTGTGTTTGTTGTGATGGATTTATCAGTTATTGAAGTGTCTGCATTTCTAATTGTGTCTTCATTTGTTACTACAGTCTCTTTATTTGCAGTAGTTATATCTCGTCTATTAGTTTTATCTGTTGCTTTATTATTTCCAACTGTTGTTGCAACGTGGCTATCTGCACTGGTCTTGTCTGTACCAGCTCTTGATGTTGCTTCCATAGCTACAGTAGTGGTGTCTCTCTTGGATATTGTTGTTGTACTTTTAGGTGGAATAATGGTGGTTTTCAAAGCAGCAGAGCTCGTGTCTTTGCTTATGATATCACTAGCCGCAGTAGACATTATCAATGCCTCAGTGATACCAGAAGTAGTGCTGGATGGCAAGCTTAATGGTTTTGTGGTAGCAATTCTGTTGGATGTGGTCACCTTATCAGGTTGGGGAGATGGGCTTTGGCTAACATGATCTTCAGACAAAGGAGTTGTTGTAATACCTTTATTTCCTGGGGTTGTTTTCTCTGTGTCAGGTTGCTTTGTGGTCGTAGAAGGTAGTTCCGTTGTGGTAGTAGGAAGCTTTGTTGTGGTCATCGTTGTAGGCTGCTTGGTCGTGGTTGTTGTCTGCTTCGTTGTCGTAGGCTGTGTTGTTGTGGTCGTGGTTGTTGGCTGCTTCGTTGTCGTCGTAGGCTGTGTTGTGGTGGTGGTTGTGGTAGGAAGCTTTGTGGTGGTGGTCGTCGTAGGAAGCTTCGTCGTGGTTGTAGGTAGCTTTGTTATGGTTGTTGTCGTAGGCAGCTTGGTCGTGGTTGTAGTTGAAGGCAGGGTGGTTGTGGTCGAAGGCAGGGTGGTTGTGGTCGAAGGCAGGGTGGTTGTGGTCGAAGGCTGCGTTGTTGTCGACGTGGTAGCTACTGTTGTCACTGCATTGTCTATTCCGCTGCCATCCTCCTCTGAAATCACTTTCACAGCTTTGGATTTTAAAGATTTTAATGATGACTTTGATGATTCTTTGGGTAAAACAAAAGAGGAAGGTTAATTGTCAGGTTATTGTGAGAGTGTCACCATTAAAACATTTTGTCATGCTTTTGAAACCTTTTAGCGTGGTTGTCTCTATAGCTCTTTAATGGCGATTTGTCAGAAACTGCCATGAGGACCGCTATGAAATTGATGCTCTACTTATTACAATAAACATATATATAAACATAGTATGTAGAACTGTACAGAGTAATGCTAGTTGACTTATCACCAACCTGCTGCTTTTGATGTGTAACAGATCTATCTCATTGTAGCTCAGGGGAAAGAAAAAATAAATGTTAACAAGATTCTTAACAGTATAATTCTTTGTGTTGTGCTGCATTCCTTGAGTATTGCCCCATCCCACATGATATTTGAAAATTTAACCTCAGATTACTTTGTTTCTTCCAGTATAGACTTTTGAAATCGCTTTGGAATAATGACCCATATGGAACCTAGTTATGTGGCATCTCCACGTCTGAAATCTAGTTTTTGAGCTGTAGCAGTGAGACAACTAAATATATTTTGAAGCTATCTGTAGGATCAAGTTCCACAAAAATCTGCACCCTAAGATATTTTTTTAAAAGTTAGTTGTTATAAGCTCCAAGAGTTAACTCTTACATTTACACTTACTTATTTAAACGTACATATTTAATCCAAATTAATTAATAATTTCATGACCACTGAGCATGCTCAGTCATCACTGTACTGTTTTAGGGGGGATGTGCATCTGTCCTTTTCTGAGAAGTTTTGAAATTCTGAAAACATAGTTCTTCTTTGCATCTTGGGTATATAACCAGTGACACCCTTCCCTTTAAGGCTGGAATTTGTGCATATATTCTGTTAAGATTACTTTTCAAGAAAGAAGAAAGATGCATAAGAGTAAGGGTAGGGTTTTTTTAAACGGGTTTTTTATTTTTTGAAATCTCACCTGTTCTGCTTCTTTCAAACCATTTCTCCTGGCTGATTAAACGCCCTTGCAAAACTTACCATTCACTTCTTCTTCTTCCTCTTCCAATTCCTCGTCAGTTTTACCCTTCTTCTTCTTCTTGCGCTTATCGCCAGAATTTGTTGACGAAGCCATCGTTCTCCGAATCTTCGAGGAGGAGGAGGACGAAGAGGACTGTTCAGAATGTTCTACGGTCAAGCACATACAATCAGCATAAAAAGAAAATTTGTACAGAATACAGTTCTGAGACAACTTCTTCCAGAAGGGCCTGTGACCCCCACCCTAATTTCATGCACTCCTAAAGGGGGGAAATGAAGAGAAAGAAGGCATAGCCAAAGAGCAGGGGGGGCAGTGTGGTGTAGTGGTTAAGAGCGGTAGACTCGTAATCTGGTGAACCGGGTTCGATTCCCTGCTCCTCCACATGCAGCTGCTGGGTGACCTTGGGCTAGTCACACTTCTCTGAAGTCTCTCAGCCCCACTCACCTCACAGAGTGTTTGTTGTGGGGGAGGAAGGGAAAGGAGAATGTTAGCCGCTTTGAGACTCCTTCGGGTAGTGATAAAGTGGGATATCTAATCCAAACTCTTCTTCTTTTGGTTCTGATCCCAATCACTGCTGGCATGCAACACCCTGACAGTTTGCCTCAAACGGATTTCAGCCCTCATCAGAATGAGGGGTGCTGGAAGACTGGAGAAAGCCCTTTTCAACCCCAACTAAAGAATCATGGCAAGAAAAATCGATGGACTATGCAGAACTGGCAAAACTGACATACAAGCTATGGGACAAGGATAACTGTGACTTTAAAGATGAATGGGAACCCTTTACAAAGTATCTGAAGACGCAACAAAGCGAACTGGACTCCTTGGCTGGTTTTGAATAAACATTCACAAACTTTTTATTGATAATAATCAGCTAAATAGTTTGAGGATCTATACAACTGTGTAACATACAGAAAACAGCATTTTTAGAGAAATCAAAGACTGGAACTGAGGGAAGTTGGGGGGTTGGGGGGTTCTGTGGGGGGAGGGAGGAAAAAAGGAAGGGAAAATAAGGATGATATGTTTCTGGATAATATGTTTTGTTTTAATTTTGAATAAAAAAGTTATTTAAAGAGAGAGAGAGAGAGAGAGAGAGAGAGAAAGCCCTTTTCAAAGTGTCTTATTTTAAGGTCTGAATTGTGAATGGAAGAAGCCGGATGCGATTTTGAACGTTTCTGGAAATGATGCGGAAAAATAAAAAACGTGCAAATCAACTGTCTGCTTCAACCTCGTGGTGTATTTTCAGCATGAACCGCCAACACCCTAAAACTTGCCTGCTCCCAATCTGGAAAAGTCGTATGTGTTTGTGAGTCAACAAATTAGGGCAATTGTTGCACTGTTGATTCCACTGGTGGAATAGCACTTTACAGATAGACCGCAATCCAAATGGTTGCATGGTTAGTTACTCATCTCAGAGTATGATTTGAAGGCACTTGCGACCACCATCTTGCTGAAGCTAACAAAGTCTGGGTCAGTACTTATATGGGAGACTGCATGGGAAATGTATGTACAATTCTATAACAGAGGAAAGGTGGGCCCAGAGATGGAAAGAAAATCAAGTCCCAACCAGAGAAGAATGGCAGATGAAGCTGATGGACTATGCTGCAATGGCCAAAACGACCAGAAGAATCAGAAATCAGGAAGCCCTGCAACAAATGTTGGAAATGTAAAGAAAAAGAAGGGACGTTCTTTCATGTGTGGTGGGAATGTAAGAAAGTGAAAAGCTTTTGGGAAAAGATATACAATGAAATGAAAAAATGTTAAGATATACTTTTGCAAAAAAAACCGGAGGCTTTTCTTTTAGGGATCTTAGGAAAGGATATAAGAAGAAAAGACTGTAAACTCTTCCAATATGCAGTAACGGCAGCCAGAATCTTGTTGGCCCAGAAATGGAAGCAAGAGGAAATACCGACGATAGAAGAATGGAGACTGAAATTGACAGACTATGCGGAATTGGATAAATTAACTGGGAAAATCAGATACACCAAAGACCAAAAGTTCATCGAAGACTGGGGAAAGTTCGTAGATTATCTGAAAAACATATGTGGTGTGAACACAACGCTAGTGGGATTTCAAGAGGCACTGTAAAAATAGAGAAGTATTGTTAATATGAAATAGTGGGGGAAGGGAAGCATAATGGCAATACGAAAGAAGGGAATGTGTAACTTAAGTTACAAATACGGATGATTGTCAGAGATGCTGAAGGAAGTTCAAAAAAGAGACAATTTGTTGTATTTTGAGGTCGGAGCTAAACATTATAAGTTGAGAGCATTTGCAGATGACTTAGTATTGACTTTGCAAGAGCCAAACACTAGCACGAAAAAGGCTCTAGAAATAATACAACAGTTTGGCCAGGTAGCTGGATTTAAGTTGAATAAGCAAAAAACAAAAGTTTTAGGGAAAAATTTAACAGATATGGAAAAGGAGAAATTTCAAGAGGAGACAGGTTTGACAGTGGTCAAGAAGGTGAAATACCTAGGGGTATATTTAACATCTAAAAATTTGAACTTGTACAAGGACAACTATGAAAAATGCTGGTCAGAAATTAAAAGAGATCTAGAAATATGGTCAAATTTGAAATTGTCAATGTTAGGCCGAATTGCAGTGATTAAAATGAATGTATTGCCTAGAATGTTATTTTTGTTTCAGACCTTGCAGATTCTCGACAAGATGGAATGTTTTAAGAGGTGGCAGAAAGATATTTCGAGATTTGTCTGGCAGGGCAAAAAGCCCAGAATTAAATTCAAAATATTGACAGACGCTAAAGAAAGAGGGGGGTTTGCCCTGCCGGACTTAAAATTGTATTATGAGGCAGCAGCTTTTTGCTGGCTGAAGGAATGGATGCTCCTCGAGAACACAGACATCTTGGATCTGGAAGGTTTCAATAATGTTTTTGGTTGGCATGCATATTTATGGTATGACAAAACTAAGCAGCATAGTGCCTTTAAAAATCATATTGTTAGAAAAGCACTGTTTAATGTATGGATGAGATATAAAGATCTGTTGGAAAACAAAACCCCTAGATGGGTGTCGCCAGTCGAGGCTAAAGCAGTAAAGAAACTCAATATGGAGGTCGGATGGCCGAAGTATTGGGAAATTTTGGAACAGGATGGAGACAAGTGGAAATTACAAAGCTATGACAAATTGAAGGATAAAGTACAAAACTGGCTTCAATACTACCAAGTAATGGAGCTTTTCAAACAGGACAGGAAAATTGGCTTTCAAGTGGATAAATCAAAACTAGAAATTGAACTGTTAGAACCCAACACTAAGAATTTGTCAAGAATGTATAATTTGTTGCTGAAATGGAATACACAGGATGAAACGGTGAAATCAGCCATGATTAAATGGGCACAAGATATTGGTCATGACATTATGTTTGCCGACTGGGAACAGTTATGGACCACCGGTGTTAAGTTTACGGCATGTAATGCCTTAAGAGAAAACATAATGAAAATGATTTACAGGTGGTACATGACCCCAGTCAAGCTGGCAAAAATTTATCATTTGCCCGATAACAAATGTTGGAAGTGTAAAGAGACTGAAGGTACCTTTTACCACCTTTGGTGGACATGCCCGAAGATTAAGGCCTTCTGGGAAATGATCTATAATGAAATCAAAAAGGTACTTAAATGTACCTTCGTGAAAAAACCAGAGGCCTTTCTCTTGGGCATTGTCGGCCAATTGGTGACAAAGAGGGATAGAACTTTCTTTATGTATGCTACAACAGCAGCAAGAATACTTATCGCAAAGTATTGGAAGACCCAAGATCTACCCACTTTGGAAGAATGGCAGATGAAAGTGATGGACTATATGACATTGGCTGAGATGACAGGCAGAATCCGTGACCAACGAAAAGAGACGGTGGAAGAAGAATGGAGAAAATTTAAAAGTTATCTTAAGGACTACTATAAACTTAATGAATGCTAAAATGTTGCGGTTTTCAGAAATAAAGGGATACAGGGATATAAGGTTAGAAATTTAAAAAAGAACTAAGAAGATAGAGATTGGAAAACAACAATTGGGAGTTGCTAGTGGGACTTTGGACACTGGGATGCAGAGAGGGGGGGTATGGGGAAGTCAAAGGAAAGAAGTTTATGAAAATATGTTTGAAACTATACGTGTATGTTTGTCATTTTTGGTGTTTGTTTGTTTTTTGTTTAAAAAGTTTCTAAAACCAATAAAAATTTTATAAAAAAAAAAACAATTTGTTGTATTTTGGATAAAAATGTATAACTGTATGGAAAATCAATAAAAAATTATTGTTTTTTAAAAAAAGAAATCAGGAAGCCCAAAATTTCAATAAGGAATGGGGGAAATTTATAATTTATCTTAAAGACCATTGTAAACAGTTAAAATCATTAGTAGGATTGGAGTATCACTTGTAATCTAAGGGTGCATTCTGGACACAATGGAGATGTAAAAGATTTGGATCATCATAAAGGATGTGGGAGGAAATAATTAATAATAGGACTCACAAAGGGGAGGATAGAAGTCCAGGAGATTTATTAGAATCTTGTTTTGATGATTTATGTTTGATGTAATTTTTTAATTTGAAAAACCAAATATTTTTTTAAAAAAAGAAAAAAGAAAGGTGGCATATAGTGCATTGGGTTCTACATCAGAAGAAATGTAAGAATCTATAAATAAAATTTATTTACGTTAGAATTGTCTATTCTGCTGTTTAATTAATGTATAAAAATCCCCAGAGTAGTTTACATATTGGAATACTCTGGGCTTGGGTTTCTTAAAAGAGTTCCCGCCTCCACCCAGGCTACATGGCAAACTATTTTTGAAACTGAATGACTTGCAAAAGCAGTTTGATAGGATATGGTGTTTTTGTGTTCAAAGGTGGTGGTGAGCCCAATGGGTATGCCCAGGATCTTGGGGGGGGGGGGCGGTCCTGGCCAAGTGAAAGTGGGCACACACAAAACACTCAGAAGAAAGAAAGATAGGTAATCAACCTGACAAATAGATTCCCCTTCCCCCAATACTAGTCTGCAAGAAGTATTTCCATTGTCAAGGCACAAGTATTATCAAGATCAATTCCTATATAGCAAGGCAATGGATAAAGGATCGTGGTTTAAAACACACACAAACAAACACACACACAGAGGGGGGGGCTTTACTCTATGCAGGCAATCTTAAAAGAGCCCAGGACAGAGAGAGTTACCTTTTACGTAGCAAAAGCTCCAGATATATGAACTACAGCATTAGTTTGCCACAACCTGGTAGGACATTTAGAATATTGGTAGATGGAGCTTGGAGAATCAGTAAAAGGATTCATCAACATATTGAAGCTTCAGTGAGTTCCATTTTCTTTTCTGCAACCCTGGCAATCTCTCTCAAGGCTCACAATTACAGTAAATCACGATGAATCACAGAACTGAGAAAAAATAAATCTACACACAACTCCAAGAAGTCCATATCACATATACTTTTTCATACCTTCCATTATTTCATGCGACACTTTCTTTTGCTTCTTTTTCTTCTTTGGAGGGATGGGTTTAGGTTTCATTTTGGGTTTGGGTTTAGGCTTGGGTTTGGGCTTGGGTTTGGGCTTAAGTTTGGGAGAACGTTTGGTTGTAGACTTTGGCTTTGGTGTTGTAGTTGATGGTTTGGTCGTGGTGGTCGTTGGCAGAGGCGTGGTTGTGGTCATTGTAGTTGTTGTTGGTACCGTGGTGGTCGTGGTGGTGGGTGCTGGAGTAGTTGGAACTGCAACCAGGCATAAAACTCAAATTTCAGTTCAGGTTTTTCTTCTAATACCAAAATTAGCATTGTTGTTTACCATTTTCAATTCACAGTTTTAAACAAAAGGCTTGTTAAATAAACTCACCTTTTCAAAAATTCAGGAAGGTAGCCGTGTTGGTCTGACACAGTAGAAATATATTTTTAAAAATTTAAAAAATGTCCAGTAGCACCTTAGAGACCAACTAAGTTTGTTCTGGGTATGAGCTTTTGTGTGCATTTCGTATCTGGAAAAAGTGTGCATGCAAGGTGCTATTGGACAATTTTTTTATTTTTTTATATATATTTCTTTTCAAAAATGTTACTTTTGCAAACACTAGTTTACAAAAAACTAGGTTTCTTACGTCTCATTTTTAACTCCCCAGGCTTCACCTCTGATTTGCCACATTCTGCTGTGCTGCCTCACCAAAAGTACCAATATTTTTAAAATTAAATGTTTGCAGAAGAGCTTTACGCACAGTTCTTTATACTGCTCTGCCCTTGTAAGCTGCTGTTCCAAAATCATATCCTCCCAGGTAATAAATTAAGCAGGATCAGATCAATTGGGGTAGCAATAAGTACATGTTATGCTTATGGATGTCCACATTCAGCTAGCCTGCACCCTAAGGGCATCAGGTGGAATGAGGCCTAATATTCATTTTGACATATTTAGGCAGTTATTGTATATACAGTGGTGCCCCGCAAGACGAATGCCTCGCAAGACGAAAAACTCGTTAGACGAAAGGGTTTTCCGTTTTTTGAGTCGTTCCGCAAGACGAATTTCCCTATGGGCTTGCTTCGCAAGACGAAACGTCTTGCGAGTTCTTGCGAGTTTGTTTCCCTTTTCTTAAAGCTGCTAAGCCGTTAATAGCCGCTAAGCCGCTAATAGCCGTGCTTCGCAAGACGAAAAAACCGCAAGACGAAGAGACTCGTGGAACGGATTGATTTTGTCTTGCGAGGCACCACTGTACTGTGTTACATTTTAAAAGAAAAATCAATAAATTCACAAATATTACAAACAGTATATATGCACTGAAACCAGTGAACCTGTTTCTCATGTACAATAAGTTCAGAGGATCTATTTCTAAATATGACTTAAGAGTGAATGCAACCCTTACTCTCCGGATGAGACTGCTTTAGGTATAATATGCATTATGATATATATTCAAGGAAAGCAGGCATGAGAAAACCTGTTAAGTTGTGGGTGAACATATCAGACGACACAGTGACTCTTCAAACAGCTCTTGTTTATTCACAGGCCAGAAAAAAACTGAACTGAAGGGTTCGGCCAGCCTGCTTATATAGAGCTCCACTAGAACGCAACAGTAGCCATTTTCTGTAACTATCCAATCACTGAACGTCACTTTCAATCCCTTATTTGCATATGTGGACCTGAGTGAAAACTATCTACAGTATCCCCCTGCTGGCCCAGGGTGAGAACTTCAGTACATAACAAAACCCACAAAAAAGTGAGAACCCACATTCTCATTTTGATAGACTCAGTTGCAGGCTGATACTTCTACATTATTTTGAATCTGTGCAATGAGCTTAAGACATCCCCCTCCTGATGTTTCATCAACACAACAAAGCATTTTTTATTTATTTATCAGTAATGGAACATTGGGAAGCAGAGATCTTCCTAGGTGGCCGGTGGATTTAACGAAGTGGGGCAGATGAGTGACAGCTTTAGTTTAGACCTTAACATTTGCTTCCTGTTTATTTCCGTTTTGTGTTCCTCTGGACTTGTTTTCATCCTGCCCCTAATATTACTCTAACATTACAGACAGCAATCACAGTGAACAGCGAATAACACTATGCCCCCTTCCTTTAAAAAAATAAATAAACAGTGTGTAAAAACAAACATATTGGTGTCATACATCCAAAACAGCTATGCTCCATTTCCCCCTGTCCAGGAAGATGAAGGCATGAGGTGGAGGGGTGTGTGGTTTGCCTCTGTACATTTCACCCTTCAGAGAAACAAGCCAAAGGCTAGCTCTAATCTCAAGAGACCCCTTAGCAAAGTGTCCTGGGATGGGGCAGGCATCTATGAGCTGTCATTAAAAATCAGCCACACTATTCTTAACTTAAGCATTGCTTCAGAGCATGGGTAGGCAAACTAAGGCCCGGGGGCCGGATCCGGTCCAATTGCCTTCTCAAACCAGCCCACAGACAGTCCAGGAAATCAGTGTGTTTTTACATGAATAGAATGTGTCCTTTTATTTAAAATGCATCTCTGGGTTATTTGTGGGGCATAGGAATTCATTCACCCCCCCCCAAAAAAAATAGTCTGGCCCCCCACAAGGTCTGAGGCACAGTCAACCAGCCCCCTGCTGAAAAAGTTTGCTGACCCCTGATCTACAGCAACACACCATCAATAGAAATAAAGTAATAACAACCAAGACTTAAGAGTGTCTGGAAAAGAAGGGACTTTTTCAAACATTTTTTTTTCTTAACAACAAATAAAATAGACCTTTCTGTTTTTGAATCACTTTATATCCTTTTCCCTGTTCTTTTGGAGGTGGCCGCCATTTTGTTTTGGGGAGGACTGAGACAAGGTCTGAGGGACAGTGGACCGGCCCCCTGCTGAAAAAGTTTGCTGACCCCTGCTTCAAAGCATATGTAGGGAATTAAAATGGTGCTTCATTGACCTGGCAACTTGGTGCAACAGGTTCAGGGTAAACTTTGCAGTGAACTTTGCAATGGCCTGGGCCTTTGCAGTCGCCAAATGGTTTAGGTCATGCTAAACACACACGCCAGTTGCCGAAACGCTTTGCATTTGTTCAACAGAGACCTAGGTTCTGAGAGTATCACCTGCCACCAAAAGACTTTATTGTCCTGGTGGAGGCGGGGGGAATTGGGAGTTGACTTTAAACGAATGATTTTGTTGTTGATGATGAATGGAAACTCACAGAACATTTATTCCCTCTTGACTATCTTAGGGGCAAACAAGGCCATTTTTCCACAGCATTCTGCCATGGCATGGCCACTCTATTACCCCTTTATTACAACCAAATTCTGCCCTGGCATGGCTCCACTGTAGTCAAATGAAGTTATGTCTGCTGAAAATCCAGACTGGGTTAAACAGGAGGCAGTAAATGTGGGTGTGGGTGGCATATAAAGGATAAAAATAATTTGAAAATAAATAAATGGAACTCCACAAACTTTTGATTCCCCGCTGTTTTGTTTTTTTTAGTTTTAATGTTTTATAGTATAACTGGCTGAATGTTCAGCATTATTGCTGGCGAGTGCAGGTGGAAGGAGAACAGCACATTGCAAAGGCTCCTAGAGCCACATTGCATCTTGCTGTAGGGATAGTTCCACCCAGTGGACTGTACATTTTGTCCTCATTGCAGTAGTGTCCTGAACTTCCTCCTGTAATGAAGCAATGGCAAGCTTTGACCTTGGAGAAAGGTTATAGCTCAGTGTCAAAGCACATGAAAGATCCCAGGTTCAGATCCTAGAATCTCCATGACTTCTGTCTGAAACCCTGGAGAGCCACTGTCAGTCCCTGTTGTGTAGACAACCTTGCAAATGCTGTTGGACTGCAACTCCCATAATCCTGACCATTGGCAATCCCAACTGGGGCTAATGGGAGTTGGAATCTAACAACATTTGGCAAACCACAGGTCAGTCACTGCTGGTGTAGACAGTACCGAGTTAGATAGACCAATAGTCTGACTCAGCTCAAGGCAAATTCCTTTGTTCCCCTTGAGAATACCACTGGGTTTCAGGCTTACCCAACTCCCTGTCTATATAACACCCGTAACTGGGATGAGGTGTCACAGAAGAAGCTGATTAACTTTGTCCAATAACAGGAGCTATGGGAATAGAGCCTGTTCTAAAATGTACACAGCCCCATTGCGGGTTAGTTATTTTCATCTGGTGCATTGGCCAGAAGACAGCCAATTTCCTCACTCCCCTGCCAACACATGAAAATTCCCCAGCTTGTATTATAGGTACAGTGGTACCTCCAGTTACGAACTTAATCGGTTCCGGAGGTCCGTTCGTAACCGGAAACCGCTCGTAACATGAGGTGCGCTTTCGCTAATGGTGCCTTCCGCTGCTGCCATGCCACCGGAGCGCGATTTCCGCTTCTGTCCCGGGGCAAAGTTTGCAACAAGGGGCATCTACTTCCGGGTTAGCGGAGCGTGTAACCTGAAGCATTTGTAAGGGGGACGATGCGTAACATGAGGTACCACTGCAAAGGTAAAGGACCCCTGGACAGTTAAGTCCAGTCAAAGGCGACTGTGTGGTTGCGGCGCTCACCTTGCTTTTAGGCCAAGGGAGCCGGTGTTTGTCCACAGACAGCTTTCTGGGTCATGTGGCCAGCAGGACTAAACCACTTCTGGTGCAATGGGACACTGTGATGGAAACCAGAGCACATGGAAACACTATTTACCTTCCTGCCACAGTGGTAGCTATTTATCTACTTCCACTGGTGTACTTTTGAACTGCTAAGTTGTCAGGAGTTGGGACAGAGCAATGGAAGCTCACTCTGTTGCTGGCATTCGAACCACCAACCTTCTGATCGGCAGACCCAAGAGGCTCAGTGGTTTAGATGACAGAGCCACCCACGTCCCATGATGATATAACCATTATAACAAAATTGATAGCTGGCAATCATATAGTTAAAAGCAGAAGTTCTAGTTCTAGTAAATCTTAGAATTGTAGACCTGTGGAGTTGGAAAGGACCACAAGGGTCATCTAGCTATTGCCCTGCAGTGCAGGAATCTTTTACCCATTGTGGGGCTTGAACCCACAGCCCTGAGATTAAGAGCCTCGTGCTCTAGCAACTGAGCTGTGCTGCAGTATTGACACTGGAAATAGATCTTGAGGTCGAACCTTTGATTAGCCTCTTGAGCTTGAAAGGCAAAGAAGTGCTTACGACACTCACCTACTAAACATGCTTCTTCGTAATCTGGACAACACTTGCCGTATCTGTCACAATCTGCATCACAGTCGCACGGTCTCCCCCTTTCAAAACTCTCAGAGCAACGTCCTTTGCAAGACAGTTCTACACAGGATGATGAAAGAATGTTAGTACCGTTTTCTTCACCTGCATGAACGAAATCTGTTTAATGAAGATGCTATCTGGGTCCTATATTTGAGGGTGTGTCCAAAGCTGTCCCTTCACTTAGGAAAGGCACTGTGATCCAACAGAGACCTTCACCTGGAAGGTGATATGTGCCGATTGCCCCTCCCTGCTGCTGATTGCTTCAGAGGGTTGGTGGATCCTCCAGAACAGTGTGGGAGGTGTCATGGGGAAACTGCAGGGCGGAGCCAGCAAGAAACTCCTCCCTCCCCAATCCACTGATCAAAGCCCTCACTTGATCAAAGAACATTCAACAAAGAGATACAACCTTGGATTTTTTCATGTAAAAAGAGCAGTCGGTGCCATCATGAATCAAGGATCTCTGAATTTATTTATAACATCTGTGCAAGTTCAAATTCACTAATGGATATCCTTTAGAATCTATGCTGTGGTCCTCTTTAACCCATCCTCGTCATTCCTGTGTTATTCTAATGAGAAAATCTCAGAAGAATCGTGTCGTTTATGATTTCATGTCATTTGAAAGTTAATACCGTAATATATTAGATATAGTCTGTGAATGATACATATATTTTTATATTCTTTGACTTCATGCTGGACGTTTGCAGATAACCAACAGGGAAAATACAGCATGTTATGTACATCTTTGTCCACAGTGGTACCTCACGTTAAGTACTTAATTCGTTCCGGAGGTCTGTTCTTAACCTGAAACTGTTCTTAACCTGAAGCACCACTTTAGCTAATGGGGCCTCCTGCTGCCACTGCACCTCTGGAGCATGATTTCTGTTCTCATCCTGAAGCAAAGTTCTTAACCCGAGGTACTATTTCTGGGTTAGCGGAGTCTGTAACCTGAAGTGTATGTAACCTGAAGCGTATGTAACCCGAGGTACCACTGTATTTGTCTGGCAAGCAGTTGTGGAGCATGTCTACAAGACTATTGTGTCTATGGCTATTGGTTCTGCAAAGCCCACTGCCACAAAATATATGGCATATATTGGAACGTCAACTGATTTGAATTGCTTCCTATGTAATGCAGCTAACAAGGAACCAGAGAGTTTGCTTGTGTTGACTTAGCACGGGGAAAATTCAGCCAAATGTGTCTGTTTGCATTGGAATCTAAATAGCGTCCTCGAAAAATACAGGACATTTAAAAAGTCATGCATAGAAAGCTTTCGGAATGCAAGAAGCTCAATTTCCACAACATGATTTTAAGAAACTATTGAGTCCCTCTTGGATGATTCCCATGACTGGGTATCCGTAATATTTGTTCACCAGTTGTATTGTGAAGTGCACTTTGGTTCCCTGAGGAGTACCACACAGGAACAAATTGCATGTAGAAGTTATTCACGCGGCATTACATGTTTCTGCCACCACCCACAGGAATTACTCATACGCGTCTCAAAATTGTGCCAGGAGAACTGGCAGGACTGAGTTTACAGATCACAATGAAAAATATTCACCAATATGAGAGAGAGAGAGAGAGAGAGAGAGAGAGAGAGAGAGAGAGAGAGAAGAGATGACACAAAAAGGAACATCCAAAACACAAGACAACAAGTAACATGTACCAAAGAGAAGGATCTTAAGGCAGTGGTTATTCAAACTTCCACCTAGCATTCTAGAGGGATCCTGTGGAGTCCAACAGCCCTGATGTCTGCGCAGGGTCTCCTCTCATATCAAGTGGCTAGGTCTGAAAGCAACCATTTACTGTATATTTCCCAGAATGCCCTCTGGGTTGGCTGCTCTGGCCATTGCAAAAAATTAAAAAGGCAGGTCCTAGCCACCCTTAAACTCTGCCACAGCCACTGCCAACACCAGCGGATATTCCTGAGGAGGCCCATCTATGTGTAACCCCTCAAACCTCAAGCTGTCATCGCTTTTGACCATTATGGAACTTTTTCCCATTTCAAAATCAGCTTGTTCTTCTGCTAAGGAGTCCTACAGCATATTTGCTGGGGAATTCATGTACATTGCATAGTTGGGCTTATATGTTGACCATACACAAACTGATAGGACTCCCCATCTTGACATGCACCCGACCCTCTTGCAACTGCATATGACAGCAGATCAGGTCAGACTTGCTGACTTGCAGGCAGGGATGGAGGCAGAGAGAATTTTGGTTCCATTCCCATTTAAACCTACCTAATTCATAGCGACACGGGTTGTGCTGTGGGTTAAACCACAGAGCCTAGGGCTTGCCGATCAGAAGGTCGGCGGTTCAAACCCCTACAGCGGGGTGAACTCCCATTGCTCGGTCCCTGCTCCTGCCCACCTAGCAGTTCAAAAGCACGTTAAAGTGCAAGTAGATAAATAGGTACAGCTCCGGCGGGAAGGTAAACGGTGTTTCCGTGCGCTGTTCTGGTTCACCAGAAGCGGCTTAGTCATGCTGGCCACATAACCTGGAAGCTGTACGCCGGCTCCCTTGGCCAATAAAGCGAGATGAGCGCCTCAACCCCAGAGTCGGCCACAACTGGACCTAATGGTCAGGGGTCCCTTTACCTTTACCTAATTCACAAGTCTTGAAACAATGCGCAAATTAAGAGGCTTGCACTGCTCTGAATTTTGCAAGGCAGTTCTTTGCCCAAGTAATATGTACACTAGTTAATGTGCATAAAATGCATTAGTAAAAATAACACAAAAAACTGCATTTTTAAGGCAAAATTGCATTCAAAAGAGTACTAGGAGAATGCTGATGAATTTTCATGTTGCTATACATGCACACACAAGACAAACTAATGGGGAGAACAGAACTTAATACCAGAAAAATGAGAAAACCGGGGGGTGGGGTGGGACCAAAACTAACATCCCTACTTGCAGCACAACTCATCTACCATTCATGATCTTCTTGTTGGGAAAATCCCTAATAAGCTCCCCCAAAGAGTTTGAAAACCACTGCCTTAAGTGAACATACCCGTGCTTATTCATACCGGAGCTTTAAAAAATGACTGCGGTCGAAGACTTACCTCCAACGCAGCTTGTCTTGTAATCTGGGCAGCACTCCATGTAGAGAAGGCAGCTACTATCACACTGGCAGCCATGATTCCTAGAATACCCTTCCCCACATCTCCCTGCACAGCTTGATATATCTAAAAATCACACAATATGGCTGTAAACATTGCCAAACCAGAATCGTATGTTAGAAAAGAACAAATGGCAAAGCATTGTTGCGTTGTTTCCCCACACCACTTTTTTAAAAAATATGCATATTCATTGTAATATGATGAATCATATAGATGGTGTTGGACTTTCGGAGGAAGAGAGGGGAACTAGCCCTGTTGTATATCAGGGCAGGTTGTGTGGAGAGAGTTTCTTTCTTTAAATTCCTGGGAGTTTACCTTAGTGAAGACCTCACTTGGAAAAACAATATAACTCAGGTGGTTAGGAAGGCCCAACAGAGACTCCATTTCCTCAGGGTTTTTACAGAGGGTGGTGAACACAGCACATGGTATCATGGGCTGTCCCCTAAGCCCGCAAGATGACATCGCAAGGGATCGTTGCCTTAGGAGAGCGAGAAAAATTCTCAGGGATGATTCACACCCCGGCCAGCACCTCTTTAATCTTCTACCCTCGGGCAGGAGATATAGAAGTATAATCAGTCGTACCAACAGGCTAAAAAACAGTTTCTATCTGTGGGCTGTTAGGCTGCTGAACGGAAAATAATATAGTGCAACTGACTTTCGGGGTTGGTGTGTTGTGCGACAAGCACACAGAGTGCAATGAGACTGAGTGTTTGTGGGGTGGGGAGGGGAGGGAAGGGAGGCTCGGTTAATTTCATTGTACACAGAAGAAGAAGAAGAAGAAGAAGAAGAAGAGTTTGGATTTGATATCCCGCTTTATCACTACCCAAAGGAGTCTCAAAGCGGCTAACAGTCTCCTTTTCCTTCCTCCCCCACAACAAACACTCTGTGAGGTGAGTGGGGCTGAGAGACTTCAGAGAAGTGTGACTAGCCCAAGGTCACCCAGCAGCTGCATGTGGAGGAGCGGAGACGCGAACCCGGTTCACCAGATTACGAGTCTACCACTCTTAACCACTACACCACACTGGCTCTCACAGGTTGTACATTGACAATAAAGGTGTTGTTGTTGTTGTTGCTAAATAGTCATTTAGTCGTGTCTGACTCTTTGTGACCCAATGGACCAGAGCATGCCATGGACCAGAAGACATATTATTATTATTATTATTATTATTATTATTATTATTATTATTATTATTATTAGCTTCAACCTAGCTCCTGTCATAGTCACCAAATTCTTCTTTTTGCCAGAGAAAGTGGGGAAGCTGTGGCCTATCAGAAGCTGGGCAAACCCCACTGTGCTCATGTGGGCTTGTATCCAGGCTGCTTTGGATCTTACCTACATCTGTTCGATTAAGAACTGCTTTAATATATTCTGCAGGTTGGTATGAACTGAACATAGTTCAATGCTGACGTCAATGACATTTTGCTTTATCTTGAACACCCTACTAAAATAAGCAGCTAATTTGATATCCAGAGTTGTGAGGTTGTATGGGTTCTTTAGAAAAAAACAAAAAACGGTTTGACCTAAAAAAATATGTGTTTACATAGCCAGTTGAAGCATTATGGGTTAAGTCAGGCATAGGCAAACTCGGCCCTCCAGATGTTTTGGGACTACAACTCCCATCATCCCTAGCTAGCATGACCAGTGGGAATTGTAGTCTCAAAACATCTGGAGGGCCAAGTTTGCCTATGCCTCGGTTAATTGTTCAGCTAGGTTTTATGAGTAGACCAATGGTAATTAAGTTAACCATTTCCATTCATTTCAATGGGCCTATGCTAAGTAGAACTAAAATTGGTTGCAGCCCACTGTGTGTTGCCAAAGAACAGAGTTCAGTAACAGAAAACACGTTAAAAGTTTGCTCCCATCACTTGAGCTATATCACAGGAGCCAACTCCTAGGGGCCGAGGTCTCTTTGTCGCCACCCCCCTAAAATATCTGATGGGCATTGCCATTCAAATGACATCTGTGTGCCACATCATGTGACCAGTTATGCAGAGTGGGGCTTACCTGGGGCCCCTCAATATTTTATTCAAGTTGGCGCACCTGAGCTATATAATATAGGGTATGCTACGGAGGGAAATCTTTTATTGTCCTAAGGATATTATAGCTGGTTCTGGTTCTTGGACAACGTGCACAATTCATTGGACCATATCAGTCCTTAAAATAATTTTGTGCTTTTGCAAGCCCTTCAGCTAAAACCCATTCCACTATGCTCATTATTCACAATGCCTGAAAAGATTTCAGTGTTGCTTAATATGACCCTGCTATCTCATTGGAATTGGGTAGTTATTCCATATATTTGGAGAGTCACTGTTCTGAGTCCTTCAGGCAGTCACCCTTTCTCCAAGGAAGGATTGTCCAGAACATGGACTATCCACTGTTACAGCAAGCCCATTCATTAGGCTTTAAGCAAATTCTTGCTTAACTCCAATTGCCACACATGGCCTACAATATATCAGAGGTAGGCTGTGTTTATGCTCTAGCATAATGTTCACTTTTCTCATGTCGTGAAACTAGCTGACATCTGCTCTGGTTTTAGCAACAACAAAAAGTGTAGTTAAGGCAGTGGTGGAGCATCTGTTTTGCATGCAGAAAATCCAGGTTGCTCAGTAAGGGAGGCTGTCTGAATCCCTAGCGCAGGCATGGCCAAACCTGGTCCTCCAGCTGTTTTGGGACTACAATTCCCATCATCCCTGACCACTGGCCCTGTTAGCTAGGGATGATGGGAGTTGTAGCCCCAAAACAGCTGGAGGGCCAAGTTTGGCCATGCCTGCCCCAGGGGGTCACTGCCACTCAGTGTGGACAATACAGAACTAGAAGGGCGAAGGGTGTGACTCAGTACAGTGGTACCTCGGGTTAAGTTATTAATTCGTTCCGGAAGTGTGTTCTTAACCTGAAACTGTTCTTAACCTGAAGCACCACTTTAGCTAATGGGGCCTCCTGCTGCTGCCACGCCGCAGGAGCACGATTTCTGTTCTCATCCTGAAGCAAAGTTCTTAACCTGAAGCACTATTTCTGGGTTAGCAGAGTCTGTAATCTGAAGCGTATGTAACCTGAAGCATATGTAACCTGAGGTACCGCTGTATGAGGGAGCTTCCTATGCTCTTATGCCGATCTGATTTTATGATATTTTGAAAGTGGTCTAGAGGTACATCAACAAAAAAAGAGCGATGCTTCCATCTACAGTCAGTTCAAAAATGGCTGCCCCTCATTTGGCATCTCCAGCATGGCTCCATATACTCATAAAAACAGGACCGCCCACAATTTGCCACAGGAAGCAAACTCTCAAAGGGCTCATCATCCATTACAGTGGCTTGTTGTGAGTTTTTATCATAGGGGAACAGTTACAGCCAGAGGTGCCGACAGGTGCATTTGCAATGTCACGACATGCCGATGTCACGTGCGTGAGCATCATGCCTCTCTTCGTAAGCCCTGGGCATTGGAAAGGATGTGCTGGGCCTCTGACAGGATACTGCAGCCCTCCTGCCTCCTTCCCAAAGACGGAAGGGCTTTGGGAAGGTGGTGAGAGGGCTCTTGGACTCATCAGAGTATTGTGCCTCCCTTCCTAAGCCGGGCAGAAGTTTCCAGGGCTTTGAGAAGGACTAGTTTAGCATTTAGGTGACTAGCCTAGTCTTCCTAGTCCACTGACCACACACCACTGATTCACAGTTTCAGTTCCAAGCAAAAGACATGTGTGATCCATAGACACAAAACGTTTTCATGTTCCTCTGTCAGATTGAACAACTACTTAATGTTCAAACCCAGATAGGAAGTCTCACTAGGAATCACAACAGCCTCGGTTTGGGGCTAGTACAGGCCTAGTACAGAATCAGATGAAGTGTGTGATTCTAGGCAAATGGGGTGTGTGTGTGAGTGTGTGTGTGTGTGTGTGTGTGTGTGTGTTGGACTTATTGACTTGTTATTGAGTTGTTCACTGCACGAAGGCATCCTTCACTTTGACCAACGAAGACCAAACATTTAGTAGACAAGCCAAATGAAATTACTCGAGACAAGGAGTCGCAACCAGACACAACAAGAAACAACATGTACACAATACGGAAGACAATGGTCATATTTTTTCAAACAACACAAATTGGACAGACATATGACCATAACATTTCAGAGGAAGAATATTGAAACATATAAATTATTTTGTGAAGTTTAAGTAAACCACTGTATAAGCATTTGAGAAGACATGATCTGGTTTCTAACAGAGAGTGTAGCCGAAGTATAGACATTAAGTGACTTCTTACAGTTCACTGAAACCACAAGGTGTGCCACACACTGATACAACATAAAACACTTAATTTCTGTCCTTAATTAGGGACATCTTCACCATGGATGAAAAACAGCAAAAAATAAAAAGAAGAGATCAGATTCTTAGACTGTAATGAATGGAAACTGATGTACACCCCGGGTCACTGCACACAGTTTAGTCAAAGTTAAATCTTTGTAAGGGTCATAATTTATTTCCTCTTTAATGGGACTCAAAAAGTTCTTGACTTTAACTTCACCATACCCTTAGTTTCTGTATTATGCACACATTATGAATATTACAGAAACATGTAAAAATATGTGCTATTTTAAAGTTATTGAGTAATTTTTGTTGTACAGTATGTACTTAAAAATAGAAACAATTATCCCGAAGATCATATTTGTCATATTTCTTGACAAAATTCACATGGCCATCATAAGCTCCAGCATTATGGTTGCCTAAATGTGCTTTTATTCTGATTAAATCTTAATACTTTGCTTCAAATTAGTTATGGGTTGAGCCGTGAGTCATTAGCTCCTTAAAAAATATTGCTTTTGCTTGACATTTTACAATACCTTGTGAAGAAACTTGCTGTGCCAGGAACACTGAAAGCAAAACAAGGGAGATCCGATATATATTCCATGCCATGGTGATTTTCAGGGAATACCTCTTTCCTTAAAATAAACAAAATAAAAAGTTTATTATTATTTTCATCATCATATTTCCAATATCCAGATATATACACTGTTCATAATTTTGATGTGATATGTTATTTGTAAGCTCACAGGGCAATCCTGTACAATGTCTACTTAGAAGTAAGCTACACTGAGTTCAGTGGGACTTGCTCCCAAGTAAGTGTGGACAGAATTGCCATTTTAACATCGACCTAGGAAAATGCATATAACTTATATATTTCATATCAGCTGAGCATGAAGAATATGTAGCAGAAGATTTAAAAAGTCTGAGTCTATAACATACTTTGCCAAAGAAAAGTGCTAGATAAATTCTATGTAGATTTATTTATAAAAATATTAATATACCACTATTCACTAAGCAAAAATTCCAAAGAGGTTTAAAAAGTCATATTATGATTGAAGATGTTAAGTAATTTATGTTCAACCACACTCAGCTCTGTAAAATGAATAATATCTAAAACTCATGTGATCCAATGCACCCTCTTTTTAACAATTTCTAAAGATAAAATGGGCATGCACAAAATGAACACATTCAATAACTTTGGGTTACTTTTAAATATATATTGAACCTATTATTACCTTCATTCCTATCGTTACATAAATTATATTTCACAGCTCATATATAGTAGATTATATAATATAATTTACTATATTATACAATAAAATTTGTAACATGCAATTTTTAAATGCCCTATTGGTTTTTTAGAAATATTATTGTTTCAAATCACATGTTAATTATTTATATTTAATTTCTACCCTGTATATATACCTATAATTATAATCTTTTAAAATGTATGCATAATCTTTCCACATAAAAAGATCTGTCAATCCCAAACAATGCTTAAAATAATCAAGAGGAATATCCAACTAAATCCTACTCAGAGTAGACCCACTGAAAGTCCATTGATTTCAATGGGTCTACTTGGTTTATGACTTGGTTGGATATCACCCTTACATTGTAGTCTATATTTATCCATTACATTCTCAACATTTTGTTCCTGGGTGTCCTTAAAGGGTATGAACCCTTTGAACGAAGTTCTGTAACAGAAAAGAGATGTTATGCTTACCCTCCCAATGGCTGTTTCTGTTTGCAGTGATTCTGCAAATGCTTATATATACCGGTATATATTGGTGAGAATCTATTGGGATGAACTAATTAGGCAGCATGTTAGACAAAACCAACTGTGACAACCCATGACAGCAAATTTTCCACATCTATTGGAAACCATCCCAGAAGACTAGACAGCACCATCTGGAAAACACTCCCATTAAGAAAAATGACTATGAAAAATAAATAAATTTAGACTTATTAGTCAACACATTTAGAATATTTTAGTTAAGCGAACAAACTGTCCCGAGAGAAGAGATGTATCTGGCAGGCATTTGCACTGAATAGCAGTAGCAGATCATCATGTCAAATAAAACAAAAGAGAAACTTTTAAATGTGAAGTACATGTTGAAGCATATAGTCATATTGTTTTGGGGAGAGTGTGGAGGAATACCACTGATTGGGGGTTATTGTAGTCCCTGTTAAAGTCGCTGGAGTCTAACCCCTGGGGCAGGTGGGAGACAACACCCCAAATTCATTCTTTTCTTTTTTTAAAAAAAATAATACATCTTTATTGAAAGTTCAAAAAGTACATAACCATATGTGTACCGAACATGGTGAGATGCAAACAAAAAAAGGGGGGGACAGAACCTGTGCAGAAGGGAAAACCGGGGGGACCCCAAAACTGTATATTTTACAAGGTTGTTATTGTACTTCACCAGATCTTAACCTATTACAGTATTTGTAAGAATGGATTCCAAATATCGTTGAATTTGTCCATGGCAAGTCTGTGTTTCTGGGGGACAGGAGGCAGGCAGGTGTGGAGGACTCCCTGGTCCTGAATGGGGCGACTGTGCCCCTGAAAGACCAGGTGTGCAGCCTGGGAGTCATTCTGGACTCACAGCTGTCCATGGAGGCACAAGTCAATTCTGTGTCCAGGGCAGCTGTCTACCAGCTCCATCTGGTACGCAGGCTGAGACCCTACCTGCCCGCAGACTGTCTCACCAGAGTGGTGCATGCTCTAGTTATCTCTTGCTTGGGTTACTGCAATGCACTCTATGTGGGGCTACCTTTGAAGGTGACCCGGAAACTACAATTAATCCAGAATGCGGCAGCTAGACTGGTGACTGGGAGCGGCCACCAAGACCACAAAACACCAGTCTTGAAAGGCCTACATTGGCTCCAGTACGTTTCCGAGCACAATTCAAAGTGTTGGTGCTGACCTTTAAAGCCCTAAACAGCCTCGGTCCAGTATACCTGAAGGAGCGTCTCCACCCCCATTGTTCATCCCAGACACTGAGGTCCAGCTCCGAGGGTCTTTTGACGGTTCCCTTGCTGCGAGAAGCCAAGTTACAGGGAACCAGGCAGAGGGCCTTCTCGGTAGTGGCACCCGCCCTGTGGAACGCCCTCCCACCAGATGTCAAAGAGAAAAACAACTACCAGACTTTTAGAAGACATCCGAAGGCAGCCCTGTTTAGGGAAGCTTTTAATGTTTAACAGACTATTGTATTTTAATATTTTGTTGGAAGCCGCCCAGAGTGGCTGGGGGAAAACCAGCCAGATGGGTGGGATATAAATAATAAATTAGTAGTAGTAGTAGTAGTAGTAGTAAGTTGTTCGTATGTTGCCAATTTGTAGAAGTCTTCAGTCCAGTTGTAGAAGGGAGTCACACTTTTATTTTCCCCATTCATCAGTATCAGTCTTTTTGCTGTGGTAGGGGCATGGAGATTCCACTCATATTGTCCTTTTGTTAGGTTCCATGTGCTGGGTATATAATTCAAAAGGATATTTTGCTCTGCAAATGTAAGGTTGTTCCGTACAGTTCTGTTGATAGTTTCAGTTACCTTCAATGTAGGACAATGAAAAAAAAGTATGTTTTAGAGAAGCATTATCCCTGTTGCATTTCCCAGTTAGATGCCTTAGACCAGTGTTCCCCAACCTTGGGCCTCCAGCTGTTTTTGGACTACAACTCCCATCATCCCTTGCTAGCAAGCCCAGTGGTCAAGGATGATGGGAATTGTAGTCCAAAAACAGCTGGAGGCCCAAGGTTGGGGAACACTGCCTTAGACAGCCCTTTTTCAAACAAACACAATGGGGTCCAGTATATTCTAAATATTATTTTTTGCTGTATGAGCCTCAATTTAAGATCCAGAGACACCCTTGTTATAGCAGTTGAAACAGTTTCCCACTGTTTGACCAAAATTGAGATCTCTAGTTAGTTCTTTATTCCAATCTTCCCTCAATACCTGTATATCCAATTGGTTTGTTACTACAAAGATTTATATATGTTGATGGCCGGATTTTTTTGTTGCATAAGAATTAATCAACTGTTTCAATATCTCTTGGGTCTCTGAGGCTTTAAAATCTGCTGGTCCATAGATGGTGATTAGTAAGTGTTTTATCTGGAGATATTGCCATTGAGCATTTGTAGGTAATCTGCATTTGTTTCTTAAGATGGAATACTTATAAAATTCATCATCTTCATTTATCAACTGGTCTAATGTTAATATACCCAAATTCATCCACTTCTACCATACAACCATTTCTTTCCCAATTTTTAGAACCACTGAGCCTCTTGGGCTTGCCGATCAGAAAGTTGGCAGTTCAAATCGCCGCGACGGGGTGAGCTCCTGTTGCTCTGTCCCAGCTCCTGCCAACCTAGCAGTTTGTAAGCACACCAGTGCAAGTAGATAAATAGGTACTGCTGGGGTGGGAAGGTAAATGGCATTTCCATGCACTCTGGTTTCCGTCACGGTGTCCTGTTGCACCAGAAGCGATTTAGTCATGCTGACCACATGACCCAGAAAGCTGTCTGTGGACAAACGCCGGCTCCCTCGACCTGAAAGTAAGATGAGCGCCACAACCCCATAGTCGCCTTTGCCAGGACTTAACCGTTCAGGAGTCCTTTACCTTTTAATAATAATAATAATAATAATAATAAATAAATAAATAAATAAATAAATAAATAAAAATAAAAATAAATTTATTATTTATACCCCGCCCATCTGGCTGGGTTTCCCCAGCTACCTAGAGGTGCGATAAGGAATTGTGAATGCTCACATGCTATCACCATATCTTTAATGTAATAAAGTGTGATGGGGGCATGTACTATAATAATCAGCGCATATTACTTCAATGCATTTTATATTTTAGGCCTAGTGGGAATGTTGGAAGTCCATGCTTCTCCCTGCTTGTTCCAAAGAAGAACCCTTCCAGTAAGTTTAAGAAGCAGGTGAATACAAATCCTGCACCCTGTGTGAGCCACCAAACTAAATGCGGCCCTCCAGCCATGTATTCTGCCGGCAAAGACCTTAACAACTCATTGCTTGTGCAATCCGAGGCAAGAAGGGACCCCCATGGGGCTTATCATGGTACACAGTGGAAGGGGTTGCGTTGAGCCTTGTGTGTGTCATACACTGTGTCATCCTATACTAAGTCCTTCCAAAAGATGTTCACATACTGAAAACAAACAACAGGAAGCATGACGTCAATATTATAGCTGCCATCTTATATAATGTCTGTGGAGCTCTGCATTCAAAAATTCGATTGGATTCAGACTGGGTTTACTCTTCACTTTAAAAAAGGTAATCTAAACTCAGCATTTGCTTCCCTGGTGTGCTAACGAAGCTAGGGGGAAGGGTTTTAATGAACAGGTATCTTTTCCTGTTTGTAACAGGGTGTCTATAATTAAAATAACCAAGTGTACCTATTCAGGGTTGCCATGTTTTTTACTGGCGCTGCCTCAGTGCCTTTAAGCAGCCTCCTGATACACAACTATTAAGCTGGTGGTATTTTCTTCAACACATGATCTGCATGCTGTTAAGCTTCCTCAGTTTAATATCTCTGTGTCAGGCTACTGTTAAAGGCAGAGAATCAGGGCCAGGAGAGGGGGTTAGTGGAAGTGTACCTGTTTGCTTCTGCATCCA